TTTATCAGTTTGGTGGTGGTAAACCACGAACACGGTATGGTGCTGACAATCCTAGAAACATGATTAGGTCGTATCTGGTCGTTCTCTCGCGTCTAAGGACTGAACTCTTCACAGAGAATTGTGTCGCCTCAGGCGACTGGGACTCCTATATTTAAAACATCAAGGAGTTGTTGCTTTTATGTTTAAGGGGTCGCCTTCTGCTTAGCAATTTCGACTGACCTGTCCCTCTGTGGGACTCTTGTGCGTGAGTAGGGTACACATATCTATTGCGAGCATACAATTTCTGTTTTTGTATTGATATGATTTCATTTTTGTCTTTGGGTGCTCTGTTTATATACGTTCGAGCAGCTGTCCATCTCTTAGAAAAAGAGTTAGTTTGGCCTTCGCTGTTGCATCTCTTGGCTTTAGGAGATCTACGACAGGTGGCGGATCTAACTGCAATTCTTTTTTTAACCGATATCGGGGGCTGGGGAATGGTCTTCACATTCCAGTAACTCCATTTACATCTGATGAGCGTATAGCACAAGGTAATAGGCCGAGAGCTCGGTCACACATACACTGACATCAACAAAAACAACAAACGGACAAATGGTGACAAGGGATGAAGGTGTGTGATAGGAGTGAGTATGTTTTTACGCCGTTTTTAGCAATACTCCAGCAATATCACGGCGTGGGACACCAGAATTGGGCTTCACGCATTGTACCCATGTTGGGAATCGAACCCGGGTCTTCGGCGTGACGAGCGAACGCTTTAACCACTAGGCTACCCGACTTCCCCGTGTGTGATAGGAGTTGTGATTACAGTCACTGAATGGTGTTACTATGTTATATATACTGATGTTATTCTGGTTGATGATGTTAAGGTGGCATATTCTCGCAAGAAGGTACTCATCTAGGCAGTCTGAACTGGATTAACTTAAAACATGAGAACCAGTCGACTATTATCTCATCCTTAAATCCGCAAAACATATAACAAATTAAACATCTCAAATCAACTTAAATTCGATTTTATCAGTGTATGTAAGAATTGATTTCAATATTATGCGGATTTACACAGTTTGCGCACCGGTCATTTCATACTTTTATATTTCTCACTGTAGATACGAAATAAAAACACACATTTAATTGAAATATATGGCTACAACGTCACCAAAACAAACGTAAGATCCAACATGGGACGATGCGCATGACATGCTTGATTGTGACTTACTTGCTTTCCGACATATGCGTATTTCGCGCACGGGCTTGATTGTGAAAACACGTGTGAGTATTTATCAGCGCGATAGCGCATAAATACAAAACCAAATAATTTGTTGTTTTAAGTGTAAAGGCGACAAAACAGCAACATAGTTGCATCATTGTATAGATAATGCACGTGTACTCAAGGACCAAGTTGGTAGGCTTTTGACACTGATAAAAGCTTACTGATAAATGTTGCGCATGAATTAAGTTAAAATGAGTTAAATTATGTGACATGAAACTTGTAAGAACACCTTTATGTATTTTCGACACAAAAACAAGAGTTTTGAGTAAAGGAAAATATTCTCGCCCATGGGCCACTCGTCCCAGGGGCGTCATAGAGTAAATATTGAGTTTTTGAACATTTATTTTTCATTTTTTCTTCCTTAATATGTTCCCATGAACACAGCATGTTTAATTTTATAAATACCTTTAACCGAGACTGGGCAAAGAATGTAGAGTTTCTGGATTATTGGGTTTCCAGAATTAAAATGGGACGTGTTATCTTATCTTATGAAGCAAAAGCAATGCTGGGGCTGCCATGTAAGGGCAGACTCTGGTCAGCTTATAAAGTCCAAAGTTTATCTCGCAGCGCTGTATTAATACACATTCCCTCGAAGAGTCGCCACACTCAACCCGGGGAATATTCAGCACAATCATCGTAATGGCTGACATGACAAGTGCAATCGATCATTATGACGGGATCTTTAAGTTCGTCCAGTGTGTCAGTGCCAGGAAGGTGTTCCTAGAGGCTAGGAAAACGCTGGCAAGTGGCAACTGGGACGCAAGCGTTTCACTCTTCCGGAAGGCGAGAGAACTCGCTATAAGAGAGGACTACGCCGAAGATGTAAATACCGTTGATCTTATTGTGAAGGAAATGGAACGATACAAAATGTCCAGAATACCCGGCGACGTGTCTCCAGTTGACACCATCAACTTGGCTGACGTGGATAAACGACCCGTGTCGAGACTGGTTGAAGAGAACACAGTACTGCCTCAGGGGATTTTCTTTTTGAGTGTTTCTGGTGACGGGTCTGTGATGAGACTAGTCGGAAGAAAACTTATATCCGAGAACTGGATCTCTAACAAAATACCCGAGCTATTTTGCAGCATCATTCGAGCTGAGATGCTCCTTGGCTTGTACGCTGACATGAGAGTGACAGAAGATGGTTACACTATATTCTACCGGTCATTGTCCGACAGCGAGAAATTGCGAACATTCCGGGATATTGTCTCTAACAACTTTGCTGAAGTGGAACTCGTATTCCCGTTCCCCCTGCTGAAAAAGAACACGAAAAGAGAGTTCGGGTCACCCCCCGAGGGATGGTCAATAGATGATGCATTTGATGTCATGTTAAGTCATGGTGAAGAACACATCCGACAGTTTACAATCACGTATCTCTCCACTCTGAAGTTAAAGAGTCCAAGGTTGTATGACCCGGCCTGTTCGACAGGCGTGTTCCTGTCTGCGATGAAGACCGCTTTCCCGCACTGCTACACCATTGGTCAAGATCTCAGTCAGCAGATGGCAGACGTTAGCAGTCAGAGAGTGGATGAAGTGCATTGTGGGAATGCCATTGAGCCAAAAATTAGAACCGGAAGTGCCGATGTTGTATTTGTACGCTTCCTGAACAGTGAAGTGGTTCGGTCAGCTGAAGCTGAGGCCCTATTGCTGGCTCTGTTACCCACGGTCCGGGAAGGGGGATACATGATCGTGTTCGGACATACCCCTGTCTTGCTGTCGGCGTCCAACTTCGCCGCCATGGACAGTTTTACACTTATTCGAAGCGTCGGAGCTACCAAGGACAGGACGGGCATATTCCAGTATTATATCTTGCGCAAGGATTGAAGTCATTGTGAATACTTTTAACTCTGCCTCGATTTCTTAAATATTATATTTTCTTTAACAGATAATCGTTTCTGCATTCTTGTTTGACGTTCACCAAAGACTTATCGGCATGTGATCCCTCGCCTGTGATGTCTCGTGAAGCACCACTACAATCCTTCTTCCCTCTTGACATGTACAGATGAAGCGAAAAGGGATTTGATCACAATCGAACTAAAGATATTTTTTGTATTGTTCAGGTCTTTGTGTATTCAGTTTGAAATAAATGTATTCATTAACAACGAATTTTTAGTTGTATGACACACACTCCACCCCAAATCCCATAATAGCAGAACATGTCTGCGCCTCTGTATGGTGTTTATCTTACAATCAATGTCTAAAGTCTGGCAATTTGTAAAACGACTGATTCACTTTGCCAATTCATAAATTAACGGGGAAAAATCAGTCATTTCACAAATGAAAAATGAGGAAAGATTGACTGAAAGTAATTAAACTATTTTTTGTGTTCCAAAGAGTCTTGCTGAAATATATGCATACAAAAAACTGTAAGTGAATCCTCTCTTGTCATCCGCCATACTTCTTTCACTTATGTTTTGCTAATATTATGATTTGTTTGTTTGTTTATTGTTTATCGTCACCAGAACCCGCAAATTTGAACATATAACCCCGATTCTAGAGAACCTACACTGGCTGCCGATACCTGCTCGACTTTACTACAAACTTCTCCTCTTTGCCTACAAATGTGTCAACCATCTAGCTCCAGCCTACTTGACAGAACTGATTCCACCTTACAAGAATGTGCGCTCTCTGCAGTCCCAAAACCATCTCCTTCTAACAGTGCCACCTGTGTAGACATCACCATTCGGCATGCGATCCTTCGCCTACAGCAAGCTCCAAGTGGAATGAACTCCCTCTCTCCATAAAGACTTCCTCATTACTCTTCTGCTTAAAAAACCCCATCAAGACCCATTGCAGCGCACAAAGCACTTATGCACAGTGAATGCTGCGCTATACAAATGCATATATTATTATTATTGTTGTTTAACGCCGCGCTCAGCAATATTCCAGCTATATGGCGGCGGTCTGTAAATAATCGAGTCTGGACCAGACAATCCAATGATTGACATTAAGAGCATCGATCTACGCAATTGGGATACGATGACATGCATCAACCACGTAAGCGACCCTGACCACCCGATCCCGTTAGTCGCCTCTTACGACAAACACAGTCGTCTTTCACGGCAAGCATTGGTTGCTGAAGACCTATTCTAACCCGGATCTTCACGGGTCGCCTCGTCGAGTGAATGAATGTTTGACACATCGCGGAGGTATTAAGCTTTGCTGATCCAAAACCAAAAACATCAACTTAAAAATTTCCCATCTTACACCTATCGTCCTTCAAGATCGTTGCCCGTCATGCCATCTGAAACTTCACTACTGGTTCTAATGTATTCCCATTACGTTCAACATTATCATACAACTATTACCAGACAATAATATCTCTTACAATTTTGGAAATGTTAAGTTATTTCCAAGTATCCCCTACTTATTTTGAAGGGTATATATACAACGACACCAGTGGGCTTATGGAAAAAACTAACTATATATAACACGTCAACTCCAGATAATAATCAGTATCGATTATCCGCTGAAACAGATTCCATTGGGCGCAAAATGCAAAAGTATTGGTGAAAATTGTATGGACGGATGACTGAAAATCAGCGATAACACCAGGTGTTAGCGAAAAGAGTGAGCAAGATTACCCTGCTCTCCCGGTAGCACTCGCCACTCACACAGTTTGTACCAAGGTTAAACCCGAATTAACAACAGCTAATCATAATCTCCTGGTAAAAAGATGGCCTACTTAAAACACACTTATCATATACAGATAAAGCACGCTTTTGTACCAATTAGAAACGCCAGGTCAATATATTCTTCGGAATAGTTCAAGATGGCGGGCCTCGTCAGTCTTTGCTTGCTGTTCACTATTGTACAAGTTGGTTACTGCAAACCGAGCGACCCTCAGGTAACCAAGTGGTATGATGTGGATATGGACTCCCCGGCAGACACGCGGTGGTCGAAAGTCCTCAATGACTACACGCAGTTTGTGCCAAACTTGCTGGCCACTATAAGGTGAGCTATTTAGTTTCGCCAGGTATGAGTTGGGCTTGAACACAACGTTGAACAGTTTAACAAATGTTATATTTGGGATAACACTTTCTTAGTAAAGTACAGAGTCTCGTACTTTTTTAGGTTGAGTCCCGTCCGGGATTCGAACCCACACTTGCCAGAGTGAGGCACCTAATCGCCAGCACCCAAAGTCAGCGATCTAACCCACTCAGCCACCGAGGCTCCCACAAAAATGAAAGTCCGACAACTGGTAGTCTAAATCACGTACTTTGAGTACCCCTCTGACAAGTGTAAATTGGCACGGCTCCCATGGCCGAAAGCTATGAATACACAATGCCATTTAGAAAGTGGTCAAATGTAAGAAATATTATATTTGGGATAACACTTTCTTAGTAAAGTACAGATTCTCGTACTTTTTTGGGTTGAGTCCCGTCTGGGATTCGAACCCACACTTGCCAGTTGAACAGTTTGTCAGTACAGGTGTGTCAGCTACACGTAGGAGGGGGGGGGGGGGGGGGGGGGCTATTTAAAATGACGCAGGTCTTAGACGTTGTCCACCATTGTGAAACCCACGAGCACAAGCATGGTGATGGCAGACATAATCGGAGCAATTCCTTACACCCGTAAGGGACGCAACTCTTATCATGGATAGTGAGTTGAGGCGCGATTTTATAACGACATGAGTTGAAAGTTGAAACACCCTGAAACAAACCACGTTGACAACAATAACAAAAGTGAGCGAGTAGTCGTTTACGCCACTTTTAGCAATATTCGAACGGGGGACACAAGAACTTCAGATTTCACACATTGTATCCACGAGGGGAATCGAACCCGGGTTTTCGGCGTGACGAGCGAACGCTTTAACCACTGGGCTACCCACCGCCCAAATAATAAAATAAGCTTTAGTAGTAGTTGTTCGCTGTATGACCATTTCTTCATCTCGTATTGATGCTACAAGTGGAGGGTTGTCTAAGTGTTACATCGTCAAGCCGAAAACCCTGGTTCGATTCCCAATATGGGTACAATGTGTGAAGACAATTTGTGGTATCCTCTGCCATGATATAACGGAATAAAGCTAAAGATAGCGGAGAAGCAATCTCACTTACACTCCTGTTGATGTTTTCTTTTTCAATATTAAGTTCATTTTACAATTGTTACCATTTCTTTTTGTATCAGATACGGAAATCCACTCTCTGATAAACGATTGCAGTACACGTTACCCTGATGCATGAGTTCATCATTTGCAGCATTTAGTCCCCAGCGAATCCTATGTCGTTACATATGTAATTATAACAAGTGCCATTGTGCGGGATTGATAGACTGCACCTATTTTTTCAAGTACGCCTCACTCTCCATGTATTATTTGATGTCACTGTTTTGCAGGCAACTGGTCCCAGTGGAAGTGATTCCTATAGCTGAGTTGATCGCTGACGATATTGAAAATCTAATTCCGAGCCCATTCGCCGAGGAATTGTTGGGTAAATTACCTTTAGATCAGAATAGTAATGCGTGAAACATGCAAAGTGTTTACCTTCTATTGCATCAGTGATTGGTATTGCATACAATACTGTTGACGGGACTGTACCTGCAGGGCGATTGACTCCAATTTTTTGACAGGACTGTATCTTCAGGGCGAGTGACTCCAATTTCCTACACAACCATTTGTCGTCAACATGGACCATGGGACGCAACCTGTCCATACCTGCTTCTATGATGAGACACGGTTGCCAGATAAATGTAATGTACAAAGATGTCACTTTCTGATTAATAGAGGTGTTTTCGGGATGATTAATTCAGTTCCTGTTTGTTCTTCAAGTATTCGTTACCGTGTCATGGCTAGGTGTACAGTTGCCTTCTACGGAGTCCACATGAGCCGGGTTATCATAGGTCCCCAGCATCCTGTTGCTGGTGCAAGGGGTCACGGACTATATTGTACCCGGTGGTGAGGCTCTGTGGCCTCGTGTGCCTCGATAGCGTGGACCATGCGCCAGTCACGGGTTTCATGGTCTGGACTAAACTTTAAAATGAACCATATTCCCTTATAGGAGGGTGATAATGGGACGGGGACGATAATGCGATCTTGTTTGATGAAGGATGTGGTCTAGGGTCTGTGTGAGACTATTGTGCGTTGTTAACATTTTGCAGCTGTGGCGGATGGTTTCGGCATGCTGCCCGGCGACATCATCGCTCTCAACATCCTCTACGACTTGACAGCGTACGTAGCAACCCAACCTGCATCCATGGTGTCACGATGACGATAAGAGCTGAAGAGCTGCGAGTCGGTTCTCGAATCTTATACTTTGTTTGATTATTCCAGCTATATGACGGCTGTCTGTAACTAATCGAGTCTGGACCAGACATCCAGTAATTGATATCATGAACATCACTCCACGCAAATGGCATACGATGACAAATATCTATGCGCGGCCTATACTCGCATATAGTGTGGTATTGTCTCTTTTATTGAGAGTTTTTATTCAGGTATTTCTTAAAGATACAACGCGATATAACTATCATTTCAACCACACCGGGAAAGTATATGCATTGTCGTAAGCATCCAAGCCATTGCATACTTTGATTCAATTAAATGTACCACATGGACGTACGGGTGCGCACACGCAGATAAATACCCAGCGGAGTACGAAGGTAAGTTCTCTTCAGCATTCTTACAACAATGGGTGGAAGGGAAAGCGTTAGCGTGTGACGTCTTGGAACTGTGTTCGATTCCGTACATGAGTACGGTTTTGATAGCCAGTTCTTGGTCCCCTCCACTATAATGTTTGCAAGAATGTTGCTAAACCCGGGGAAACCCCTACCACTTACTACTTGCATCATCACTGGGCCACCACACTGTATCTATTTTAACATTTTTCTCTACGCCATAACAACAAAAGCAGATAAGCAGCCTCTTAAACTGTTCAGTAACCAATCGTTTGTTTCAGTTATTTAGTTTCTCTTCTACTGTCGTATAGTGTAGCAACAACATTCATTCTGCTTTTGAGGTTAAATGGGTTTAACGTCGCATTCATAATTGTTGCACTTTTATAGCGACGTACATGTACGTGCCTTCTTGTACTAGTCCCGATTGTATAGTGTCCCCCGATATACCTTATCGCAGTTTAACATGGACACCCAACTCAGACCCAGTATACTGACACCGAACCAACCAGTGCTTGTTGTGTCTTGTATCCCCGAATGTCAAGCGCTAGGTTAAGAGTACCATCTCTTAACGTCTGGTATGACGCGGCCGGGGATCGAACCACCGACCTTCCTCTCTGCAGAGAGACTCTCTATCCACCAGGCGATCGTATCTGCTTGTGAAATAATTAAAACTGATAACGTCTTGTCACGGACTCCTGTGTACACTGAAATTGATATGACTTATCAGTGCAATGTCACCATGTTCTGGTGAATCAGTACATCACTAGTCTATGGGGATTCCTAGTTAGAACTGGTCCCTAGCAACCTATGCTTGTCGTAAGAAGGGACCTAAATGGATCAGGCGCCTAGGCGTCTAGGCTCACTGACTTGGTTAAATGCGTGTTATGGTAACTCGGCCGCGTGGATCGTTGCTCACACCAATAAATGTTTTGTCTGGTTCATATTCGATTATTTACAGGCCCACGTCATATAACTGAAATAGAGCCTAGTGCAGCGTGGAATAACAAAGAAACAGGTCAACAATGAGTGAGTGAGTTGAGTCTAAAGCGGCTTTTAACAGTATTTCAGTTGTATCACGTCGTGTCAGCTTAAAGTAGGGTGAAAGCCCGAAGTGACGCAGGTCTCTTAGACGCTAAACACTTTGATGAAACCGACGAGCACGGGTATGGTGCTGACAGACTTGGAAACGTAATCGGGGCCAACAGGGATTCGAACCCACGATCGGAGATTTCTTGGTGCCTAAGGAACACATCTCTGCATACCGAATTGCGGCGCCATAGGCGACTTGGCCACACCTGCCTCAGTAGGTCTGTTATGAATTTTGTTGACAGATACTGCACGAGCATAGTGGCCCAAGACGAGGACGGCGTTATCTGGCACGCACGTAACCTGGACTACTACTACGGGGACCTGCTGAGAAACATGACCATCAACGTGAACTTCCAGAGGAACAACAAGGTACGTCTACAGCGTCATCACCGGAAATGACGTCACTGCCTTAGGCAATCCTCTAACATTTCGCAGCACTCTCTCACCAGAGATCCTTGCGGTCAACCTAGGGCAATGCTAAATGTGCTTTCGCAGAGTACCTCTCGCTCGTGAGAGTATATTAAGCGGCGTTTTCTTAGAGTGTTGCAGTCGATTCGGGCTCAAAATAAAGATGGTGGTGAATGGGTCCATGTCATGGAGCTTTAATACACTGGATAATCGAGGATGAGGTGTCATGGGCATCTCAAGGCAACACTTAGTGCAGTGGTGGCTACAGCGTTTATTCCTCTGAACTAGTTGTTTCTTGGCAGATATTAGAACACAAAATAGTTCAGCTTAGGATCATCTTCTGAGAATACTTCCGGCAATGAGCAAACATAACGACATATTCAAACGCTATCTTGAACGTTGACACTATTATGCATCTTTGAAGAGAGTCGAGGCTCGGGAACACACTGAATCTTGTTTTTGAAAAAATGCATGTTTGTATTGAGGATGTATATCAAGCTAATAATGGATAATTATCCTAACCGAGGTGGTGTCTCTGTTTCACACACGCCGCTATTATTACACTGGTTGACCAAAGTATTACCCAAGTTAACCTTGGTTCACCAGTTTTAGCTCCTGTTAACTGAATGACATCATACTTCGGTTTACCCAAGTTACTCATACCTACTGAATCCCTGGGAGGCGGTAATCTGGTTAACAGCCTCCGAGTGACGTTATCAGTAAAGTAAATAAGTTTCATGTATTGATTCAATCACGAATAAAAACATTTTAATGAATGTGATTAAACCAAGAATCGTATATGTTTATCCTGACATGCGTCACGGAAATTTACTTTGATGTTTTTGCATGTCGTTTGATGGTGTAAGTTCTGAAGTTTCTTGTCATTTATATACATTAACTAGAAAAGGTAAAATGTCAGCTGTGTCAAACAATGAAAACTTGTGAACCTCTCATAGCTGTGTCATAGAACATGGCTGTGGTGTTTTTCCGTCTCCTGGCAGCCATCATTATGGCTAAGGTTGTATTATATGCGTTTTATTTCGGGTACTGGTAAACTGAGTTTGTATCTGGTCAATCCCTGGTTGCTAGGAAGGTGGTATCCTCAGTTGACTCGGGTCACTCAATAATACTAACGCACGCAGGTACTGTCTAGAGTTTAATTAGAAAGGGGCAGCAGTCCGTTGAACACAGATGTCCTCTCCAACTGGGAAGGAAATTAACATAGAGTTCTCTCCCCCTGCAGCATGAACTGTCAGTCGGACGCGGGGGCGTGTATTGTTTGTTTTGTTGTTGTTTAACGCCGCACTCTATAGCAATATTCTAGCTATAATTATGACGGTGGTCTGTAAATTAGCATCGATCTACGCAACTGCGATACGATGACATGCATCAACCAAGTCAGCGAGCCTGAACACCTGATCCCGGTAGTCGCCTCTTACAACAAGCATAGTCGCCTTTTACGGCAAGCATGGCTTGCTCAAGGCCTATTCTAACCCGCATCTTCACGGGTCCGGAGGCGTGTACCGATCTATTCCACAAAAAGGGGAACCTGTACAATGTTCCCGGCACCGGTTCACCAGTATACAATTGCAGCCTGTTTTGTGACAGTGTTTTCAAACTAAGTATAGTCAAACATAATGTGGTGCCCCGCGTATTTCCAGACCGCATACACGGGGACGACGTACGCCGGCTACGTGGGCCTGGTGTCAGGACAGCGACCTAACAACTTCACCATCACCGTAGATCAGCGGGGCCATCATGGTCAGACTAGCCTAATACTAATACTTTCACATTTTTTCCTTGTACAATTTTCTTTTCGACACCCCTCCCCAGTCTTATTGAATGAAATTGATCAATGTAACTGAACGAATATTTAATTAATTCAATAAAAAGGGATAGGATAAATATTTAAACTAATTCTTGCTATCATTAAGGCCCATTCTTGTATTTGTAATGTAATAATTCAGCTTCAGTAGATTATGGCTCCAGATCTTAACTGATGTGCGTCCTATAATGTAGCTCTATTGTCATAAAATGAGTCCTGTACGAGCTGAACAATGTCGGTTTCTTCCAGTGCACGTTGGCCACTGGTGGCAGAACATACTCATGGCCATCCTGGACAAGAAGACGTCCTTCGTCAGCTTCCTCGTCAGACAGGTGAAGGTCATAAAGTGTATACATAGACACACACGTACAGACACCACACACATACACACAGCCAGTCACATCACATATACACATAGAGAATTTGTTTGTTTGTTGTTTGACGCCGCACTCAGCAATATTCCAACTATATGACGGCGGTCAGTAAATAATCCAGTCTGGACCAGACAATCCATTGACTGACATCATGAGCATCGTATCCCAATTGCGTGGATCGATGCTCATGATGTCAGTCAATGGATTGGTATCAACCAAGTCAGCGAGCCTGACTAACCGACACTCAAGTTCAATAAGGAAGTCCAGGCCATGTCCTGGCACATTTTCACAATGGACAATAAGTCATAACACAAAATATTGTATAGCCGTTTTAGGGGAGTGTCAGTGGTGTCTTTAGCAAGAAAGAAAACCTTCCCAAGTAGGATATTTTGTCCGTAGTTTTACCATGTATGTGGGAAAACGAAATGTACGTTACTGTCCTAGCGAAGAGTTCAACAACAAAAGAAATATTTAGTGAAACACTTGGTCATAATAATACATTATTGTTTATGTCCAATGCTACACCACCAAGACAGCTCTATTGTGAAGCAAATTATACTTCTTTAGGAGTTCCGTACCAGAAATATCCGTTACCTGAATTATAACCAATGGGGAGATCTATTATTTAAAGCAAATGTTGTCATGCAATAAGACAAAAGTACCACGATAACCTTCAAAATTAACATAATATTGTAACATAATTTACAATGGTATCCTTATTAATACACGGTTCATAGCCATGCTGATGATTAGGACAAACGGCATAGTAATTTTTTAAAGTGAAATCTACGTTACCCTTCATAGAAACACAATCACATGCTTAAACATGAAAACAACACCAGTAAATCATCCACAGTCTCTGACGGGATCTATACGAACTACAACCTTTTCTACGGGCTTGTTTAAAAAGATGAATGTCAACCATTATCAATAGTTTTGTAATGTACGTTACTGAAATGTTCGTTACTAACTAGTACGAAACTACCCATTTTCGTGAAATTAGCTTTGTCTTAAGGCTACCAAGTCCTTTTGTCCTCCATAGATTGCAGGCAAGCTTCCAAGGCTGGTTATGCTGGACACCATCATGTTTCGGACTATTTATCCAGATATGGCAGATAGTGTTTCGTGTTCATTTCATTACATTAATTTTGCTTGTGATCTTGAGTGACAACCAGTGGATATGTTTAAAACAAGATGAAAAATAACTGCATTTATATGTCAAGTTGAAATACTGGTACATTTTACTGAACAAAGATGGGGAAATGCTATGATGCTCTGTATTCCACCGCCAGGTGCTGGATACGAACACGGGGTTTCGGGATGCAGTGGAGAGACTGTCGACCACGCCCATACACGCCCCTGTCTACTACATCGTTGGGGGTAAGACACGTTTCATGCAGGATAACCTCCTCCAACACATTGTAAAGTTCCATGCTCCGAGTGGGGCACTACAGACGGGCAATTGGCAGTCCCAGCAATTTTGTTCACGGTTTCCAGATCGTGCAGCGTAGTCTCCCTTTAGTGCATTCTATATATCTCCAGGACTAGCATTTCGGTAAACCAAAGACGTATCTACATACGTCTTTGGGTAAACCTACACTAACCCCATGATCCATTCCCGTGGTTCTTGCGATCGCCAGTTACCCGCCCTTGATTTCCATTGACATTTTACCGACCAATCAAACGTCGACATAAGGGAAAGGGTAAGGGAGGTAACTCGTATTACCTAGAAACAAAAAACACCGCTAGTTTTAATGGACATGAAGACATCATTTCAATCAAATAGATTTTTAGAGCTTCTTTTGCGTGTCAGTCAGTTTTTCAATGTTGAATTTCTCACAAACTCGATCATAATCAATGGGACTGGCCAATCCAAAAGTGAGACTGGTTTGTGACTCGCATTCTGATTGGTTCCGTTGAAATAGTAGCGTAGCCAAACTGTTACCCCATAATGCATAGCGCCTATTTCATGTTTCTATGGAAACTGTAGTTAAATGAAATGTGTTCCTCCAGGTGTTAACCAAGGAGAGGGTGTGGTCATAACACGTGATCGCATGACAGCTGTGGACCAGATGTACATGAATCCAGCTCATGGGAAGTGAGTGTCCTCGTCCTATATGTACACCCCAAACCGGGTGGCCTGGCACATGCCTTTCCTATGAATGACGTGACATTTACAAATCTTATCAACGAAAGTACAAAGACAAATTTAAGGAAATAAGGAGACAATTGACAACAGGGACGAAACAGCCATACTATGTCATATCTTTTGATCAACGGACTTTTGTTTCAGATTTTATGTCCTTGAAACCAACTATGACAACTGGACCACGCCCCCACCCTACGACAAAGAGAGGAGGTAAGCATCCACTGCTCAAAACATGTTAGGGATATTAGACTGACCTGGAGCTGTATGTTGACTGTCATGGTCCTTTTGAAGACCACGTGCCCTGTCTATCAGGGCATGCCTTGACCTGCGATATAACAGGAGAAAACATTGCTGACTAACCAGCCAAAAATAACCAGTAAAAGCCAAACAGATTATTGGTAAAAGCGACATAAACAATACTCTCACTCACCTCTGTACTACATGCATTTATGGCAATATGTTTGACATTTGAAATGTTTCCCCAAATTTCCTTGCTGCTTTTCGTTGAATTTCCCACATGGGTTTTGTGAAGGAAGCCCATTCTTTGTCTGACCTGTCGTGATTTTTCATAATAGCGGCGTAAAATCGTAGTCACTTAGCGGCGTAAAATCGTATTCACTTACCCATCTAGAGCTGTCGCCGAGAAGACCATGAATGCCTTGGGAACGCAGGGAGTCAACAAGCAGTCCATGTTTAACGTCATATCCACACGACCAGTGATGAATGAGTAAGTTGCCACCAATCTAGTAAATCTAGTTGTGTACTTGGTATGCTGACTGTATGGTCCATGACTCGGAGCTCAGTGGTCGTGCATCCCCGTACAGAGAGCACATTGTACATGTGGAAATATCGTAAGTAGTAACAGTAACTTGGTTCTGTAGTTCATAACAGTGATGTTCTTCAAATCACAGTAATCGAGATACAGGTAATCTCATAATCGTCCTCCTTGTGAGAACGTTCTTATACATACTTGCCTTGGAGACAGGGGAGAACATACAAGCAATTTGCCACTCTGCAGGTCTTGGAGGCAGGGCGGAAATTATGTATTTGACGTTATTTGGCATACAAGCAATTTGCCATTCTGCAGGTCTTGGAGGCAGGGAAGAAATTATGTATTTGACGTTATTTGACATACAAGCAATTTGCCATTCTGCAGGTCTTGGTGGCAGGGAAGAAATTCTGTATTTGACGTTATTTGGCATACAAGCAATTTGCCATTCTGCAGGTCTTGGAGGCAGGGAAGAGATTATGTATTTGACGTTATTTGACATACAAGCAATTTGCCACTCTGCAGGTCTTGGAGGCAGGGAAGAGATTATGTATTTGACGTTATTTGGCATACAAGCAATTTGCCATTCTGCATGTCTTGGAGGCAGGGAAGAGATTATGTATTTGACGTTATTTGACATACAAGCAATTTGCCACTCTGCAGGTCTTGGAGGCAGGGAGGAAATTATGTATTTGACGTTATTTGGCATACAAGCAATTTGCCATTCTGCAGGTCTTGGAGGCAGGGAAGAGATTATGTATTTGACGTTATTTGACATACAAGCAATTTGCCACTCTGCAGGTCTTGGTGGCAGGGAAGAAATTATGTATTTGACGTTATTTGGCATACAAGCAATTTGCCATTCTGCAGGTCTTGGAGGCAGGGAAGAGATTATGTATTTGACGTTATTTGACATACAAGCAATTTGCCACTCTGCAGGTCTTGGAGGCAGGGCGGAAATTATGTATTTGACGTTATTTGACATACAAGCAAGTTGCCAGTCTGCAGGTCTTGGGGGCAGGAAAGAGATTATGTATTTGACGTTATTTGACATACAAGCAATTTGCCATTCTGCAGGTCTTGCAGGAAGTTATGTATCTGACCTGCAAGCCTTGGGTGTTTCAGGAACACCACCTACAGTATGGTGATGAGCGCCAGTCAGCCCGCCGTGTACAGTGCGTGGGTCAGATGGCCTTGAACAGCGGACACGCAACAATAAATGTCTCGTACTTCTGGGTTTCTGTGTTGGTGCATGATTATGAAAGAGATGGCGGGTCCTACAGTCAACATGGTCGAGGTGTCTAAACACGCAGTTGCTGTAAATCCGTCATTGCCAAGATGTCTGAACAGTCCATATTGGTACCATGGTGAACATAACACCGACACGTGCTTGAGTGTCATTTGTTTAATCTCACAAAGAAGTAGCATTATCGGACATGCATGATGAATGTAAATCATGTTTAATACTAAATATCACAGGTTACTAAAGTATCGACACAACCTTGAAAGTTGGATACAGAAACATGTTAGTGGTTTTGAAAAACAGCAATGTTGTGTTGGCAAGGGGCAGTCAACAAACCCGGTTCGATAGATCCAAACAATGAATGCGTCACCCTAGAAATGGGTGTTATGAGATGTGTGTTATGTCCGATGCACATACTACCTGATCACTACATGTCTCCACCAACACCAGTTGCCACAAAACACTTGTCTGGTAGGCCTTCTTTGCGAGAACTAGCTAATGCCATTCAACAAATTACAATTGCACGAGCATCGACTGTTGTAATATTAAACCAGGAGAAATTCTGTTTTGGAGCAAAAATACTAAATTCTTTCAAACTAAGTACATATTCTTATTTGATTCAGAGAGCCGTCAATTCAATTCATCCATCGATCCTACAGTGATTTTCCAAACATATTTCTATTTTAATTTCAACTACCAACTCCATGTCATATTAGAAATAAACACACATATATATATATATATATATATTCAATAAAAGGCGTAATTAACTATGGAACATTTAACATGTAGGTTTCAACCTATCATAAAATCAGAATACATTTATTGTTCGTTGCCTGATTGATTATAGAACACTTTACACGTGGGTTCAGCAGTATCATTATCAAGTAAATATAGTCACCGATTTTGTTGACCATACGTGTCCTCCTAGAATATAGCCATTAAAAGGACAACTAAGTTTTACCATCCATAAAACAAAACTATATTCACTGTAAGAATGGCATCTTCCCGAGGCAAGGCATTTAAGTGACTATAAAAGTCCCGTTTGGATTTTTAAAATCAGTTACCTCCCTTGCCTGTAAGAATCGAAGTGGTGTCATTCTATTACATGCCACTCAAGTACAATTGTAATTATTTGTTTCAGGAAATGTTTAAAAAAATAATTAGGCTTCAGACTGTTGAAAAAGAAATTGTCTAACAAAGTACACAGTTGCTGGGCTCATAACTTTAATAATCTGTAGCGGAATAAATATCTTGCGTCTATACAGAATCCCAGGCTAGTCCCAGAACATCAAATAGTCCGCCCCTAAAGGAATATGATATAAAGAAGTCGATTTTGTACCTCAAACATGTTTTTTATAGGGTGTCATACAGACAAATGAGATCATATTTAGTGTGTAGTTGTGTATGTGATTCAGAATTGTAGTCACATCATGGCGGTCAGCTTAAAGTGATCACAGTCGTATATGTTGACCTTTATACTCCCATAAGCACCGACAAAGAGCTGGCAAAGCAAGAGTGGTCATCAGGACTAATATAGGACTCGAACCCACGAACGAATCCTAAAATGACTAAAGGTCGCACCGCGACTGCAAATTGTGGCAATTTGTACCACATGATCACCGGTAAACGCGTGACAACGGCAATGTACATAAATACGGCTACATACATACAGATATTTATTTTACAACTTCAGGCATAGTTTACTTTTTACCCTATTTCCTCGATTAAACGCGGGGGAGTTTTTATGCACGGAATTCTCCCCATTATAATCCGGGGTAAAGAATATTTGAAAGAAATATACGCCTGGGCGTTTAATCGAGGAAATACGGTATATCTCCTTGTCTAGTGACATTAACATGCGGGCGGGACACAGCTACTCGGCGTTCTCAACATCAAGTAGACTGTTCATGTCGTCCACTGCGTCGTTGGTGTCGTCAACGATGCCGAGATTAGCTAGGTCTTCCACCGCACGGATGAGGTACTCGGGGTCGGGGTAACCGTATCTGAAACAGCGAAATGAGCCACATCACTTCTCGGTCATGACGAAGTTCTGGCGGAGATGAATGATTTACTCAAGCAAAGATCTGTCGCATCCGGTTGATGTCAGTTGACGATGGAACACAATGATGACTTCCTCCTGCTGTATAACTCAACAATGAGAATGGAGGTTTCAGCTGTTTGTAGCTCTTCGTGAGTGAAGATTGTGAACAAAGGTCTGCCAGAACAATACCCGTGCTCTGCCCTTCACGAAAGCCTGTCATCTTCCCGAGGCAATAGAGTTAACTGACTCTAAAAGTCCAGTAATTTCGGTCCAGCTACAATTATTTTCTCTGAAATGAGGAGCTAGTCAACATACATGTTCTCCGGATATCCAGTCTACACTATCTATACGTGGGGTAAAACCTGAGGTAAATGATTGTTCCCACCAGTCTAACCTATCTCCCTCAGGATAGAAAAGGACAGTATGATGACTCACTCGTCGGGCCCACCGTCCTGGCTAGTCTTGTGCATGATGTGACCCCACTTGACCACATCCGGTTGACCGGTAGTGAGGGACCTTCCGACAGTGAATACCAGCTTTCTGTCAAATGCGATCTTGAGCATGCGCAATACTTTTTTCCCCATATCATTGTCAGGGAGGAAGGCCCGTCGATTTACACCACGGTAGAACCTCCCGGGATGGGGGTGTTCCTCCTGTAAATATCATCAATACAACACGTTGTATCATACAGTAAACTACGAATATAACGAACTCAATGGGACCACTAAATTCCGTTCGTTATAAACGTAGTTCGTTATGAGCACATATACAGCCTATATAATAGCATATGGACGGATATATATATATCCCCAGTTCGTTATAAGCGTGTTCGTTATAGACGTTGTTTACTGCACAAGAAGAAGCAGTCGGTGTCTGATAAGGTGGCAGTTGCAAATCAGGAGAAATATTGGGCACAAACGTGAACAATTACGTTGATATACAGAAACAATCTGAGCATGCACAGTAGAAGAATGGCAGTGTATAACCTATTAAGACAATATGTAAGGTGACATTGCCAATGGCCCATGGGACTATTCTACACAAAAAGAATAATGGATTCTTATAGGATGGAAGGAATTATTATTTTTTTACGCCACAGTCAGTTATAGTACAATTGTCGAATCTGGACCATTCAAACCAGTGACTGATAGTATGAACACCTATCGGAGTCTGATGACATAAACACACATACACACACACACACACACACACACACACACACACACACACACAGTGTTAGTCTGGACCAAGAAATAACTTGCCGTCTGTTTTCCTCCTGGAATGGAATAAGTGATGACGATGATGCCGACGTCATCGAACCCGGACACGTGACAGTGGTCAAATGTTGCAACTATCATCGTTCCGGGAGGCTGGTTGCCCCTCTGGATCAGGTTTTCATCTATTGACGGCTCAAACTCCACCGCAGCTATTTCTCCATCATCATCCACATCGCTGTACGTATCTTCATAAAACCCTTCCCCATCACGGTAACCACCGCCCGCTGCTTCATCAAAAGCTCCATATTTGGCGGTCCCTCCATTGAAAGGGTTGTAGGGTGGATATTGAAAGTCCTCTTCATCACTAAAGTTTATAAGTCTAGTTTCATCACCAGATTTTGAATTTGTATCACCCAATTCATCGTCTTTAGGTTTCTCTTCGTCCTCTTCTTCTAGAAGTGTAAACTTAGCAACAGTCTCCTGGTTCCGATGTCGAGGGGAGTCGTCGTCACTCCTGCTTACTGTATCTCTGGAGCGGTTTTCTGATTCATCATCTTCAGTGAGGTTGAGATCCTGCAGTGGACATGCGTCTCGAAGAGGGTATCCAACAGGCTCGGGAAGAGCCGTCATGGACAGAGATTTCACAAAAGGCAAGTCTTTGGCATCTTTTTCAGACACAGCCGTGGATTTATTGGATTGTTTGATAAGCTTCTGTATCCGGTCTTCCCTAGTTTGTGTCGGCACGTCCTCGTTCTTCTGGCCGGGTAATACGGAAACCCCTCCAACAGGAGCTTTCGGGCGTGGACTGGCAGCCACAGGAGATGTTAGGGGCAACGTCTGTGGTGGGGATTTCTTATATGACCTCACTGTACTTGCATGTGCTGTTGTCGAGTAGACCCCACCTGGGCCAGGTTTAGGTGGAGGACCTGTGTGAGGTCTACCTGGGTAGGCTCTGGGGGGACCAGACGTGAACCGGGGACCCATGTATGCTCCACCTTGGTATGCTCCGGATCGACCCAACGTGAATCGGGGAACCGTGTTGGCTCGACTTTGGTACAATCCAGTGGATCTAGGACCCGTGTATGTTGTACTTGGGTACACTCCGACTGGATCAGATGTGAACCGTGGACCCGTGTGTGATGTAGACACGGGACCTGCTTGTGTAGCGAATGCAGATGGGAAGGCAGGAACCTCATCTGGCTCTGTGGTGTCAGGCTCATCTTCTGAGCTGGATTCATCACTGCAAATTGAAGCAATGCAACGTTAATTGCACAATCACTGTCAAAATGTACATCTGTACATGTAAAAGCAAACCCATGTAGAACCTTACTGCCAGAGCGCCAGTATACTTTTGACATCAGAAGCAATGACACAACAATCTACACTTCTTCAGTTGATAACAATCGTAATTATGAACGATCTATCAGCGAAAAGTTCCACCAGCATGATCAAGATCCGTCAAAACACAGATAGTCGTACCTGAGACTACAGGAGGTCTCGCAGATGACCTGGAAGTAATCATTGATGTCATTGTCCAGACTGACGAAGTGGACCTCTTCCAGACACACGGGACGGTGCCGGTACAATGTCCTCACAGCGGCCTCAACAGACTCCTCAGCAGTGCCACGACCGCGTCCTATCAAGCGGAAATAGACAGAACATTATTTTTTATAGAAATATTCACAATCATATTAATGAAGGTATTGTATTATGAATTAATAAAAGATTTGTTTAAACAACTATTGATACCGACTAGCGATTGCGAACGTTGTGTCTTGACACTATTTTAAACGTGCTTCTTAAAATGAGACATTACTGATCTTAGGTAAGAATCAAAATCTAGTAGTTACATAAACTGAGTTTCCGAATCGAGATGTGGACGATTTGGATATAATCCATGGCGCCTATCCCTGATCCAGTATCAATATCAACTGTTGATGTCCTAACGTGTCGCTAACGGGCTACGTATGGGCAACAGTGACATTCCAATGAATGGTGAAAAGAATACCGTATTCGACGTAATAAGCGCCTAGGGAGCTCTCAAAATTAGAAATAGGGGGCTCATATGAGAATATAATTTTGGTGAGAGAAAAAAGAGTTGAAAGATCGTAAATTTCGTGGTTTATGCTGACGGCCTGAAATGATACAGAAGAAAAATCCTATTATACACGACAGATATATTTTCCAGAATTTAATTGCCCATAATTAAGGGTGCATATAACACACAAGTGCGTATTATACACGAATAAATACGTCTTGTGTACATTGATCAATTGGAAGGGGTGCTAATTGGGATTGTCCACTAGCCAATATATTAGCAAATATCGCCGTGGGCGCTTATTAGGACGGGGCGTTTATTACGTCGAATACGGTAATCAGTTTTGATAAACGTCACTGCCTCACCTGTTCCAAGCAGCGGGATAGCAATGCAGCTGATGTCCTTGTCGTCGGCCTTCCTGTATACATTCCTGTACAGTATCTTCAGGGTCTTCAACCAGTTTCTACTCTTGCGTTCATCGTAGGGGCTGACAACCGCCTGCAGCACGTACTTGAAGGGGAACTTGTCGTTCTTCGTATGAACTGTGTACACGTGGCCATCCTGCAGGGTGCCCTTAGAGACCCGCCGTGCCTCTCTCTTGTCCTTGAACTCATTCCCACCCGGGAGGCTGCACAGAGATCGGGTCACCATACTCATGTCTCTAGAGCTGGGGGAGTCGCCCGTGACCACGGCGTCTGCCTTGACCTTGGTAATGTTCCCGACGTAGATCTTGATACTGACGCCATGTTTGGTTGTGAAGGATTTCTCAGTTGACGGTACCTGGGCAATAGGTGGAGGTGAAAAAAGAGAAGGCATTGTGACACCAAAAGCAGATGTATCGTCCTTTTTTATGTAAGGGGAAGCTTCCTTGATAGAGTCAATCTTGGACGCACTGCCATATTCCGCTGAGAACGTTTCTGATGTTTCTTGTTTCCCAGGGTTTGTCTTTCTGTTGTTGGCACGAGGTGGGGTTGGGGAGTCCGAGTGCTGTTCGATGGCGGTCTCTGGGGGATTCTCATCTCGTGTATGTAACCGTCTCTCCTCATCTTCACTGTCATCCAAGGAATGGCGGCGTATTTCTACAGTACTGCTTGTGACGTCTATGGACTTGTTTCCCGAGGAAGGTCGGGATATGTCCTCACTCGAGGACGACGTACTCAGAGACTTCTGGCTCCTCGGGCTTTACAAGTAAAATAATTAAAGGACATTTGAGTGAGTGAGTGAGTGAACGGACAGTCAGCAACATTCAAGCAATATCCATATCACGACGGCCTATAAATAATCGAGTCAGGGCCAGTGAAACCTGTGTTTCACTGTGTACGACGACAAGCATCCCACCAAGCCTGTAGACAACAGGTAGCAGTGGACCTACTCTAACTCGAAATCCGACTTTAACAGGTATTAGGCAAACTAGTGTATCAGATATCAGATATTTTTTTCAGCTACAGCTGCAAAACCAAGTATTTTTAGATTTATAACTATGAGCTAAATATTCTTTTTTGATATTTTTTTTCAAAAACTTTCAGGAAAACATCATATTTCTTCCAGATAAAATTACATTCTAACAACTTACATATCTCATACCGTAATTACACATGTGAACTTCAACGTTTCTGTTTCTACTGATGTTTTTATTACCATTTTCAACAGATAATGTATTTATAGCAGATATATTAGATAATTATCACTAACAGCTATCAAAGTGTCCAATATACGTTTCACTGCACATTGTAGATATTTACACCTGGAATATTGCTGAGAGCGACGTTAACCCCCCCCCCCAAAAAAACCAAAAAAACCAAAAACATATTTGCTATTGATGTAATGAAAGCCAAACATCTATAAATTTCATCAATGTCTTAATATTCTAATAAGGAGCTACTAGTATGATCTCACTTGTGACCAGTGCTATTGTGTTTCGTCAATAAAATCTGTGTAAACTAAGCACACCTTCCATAACACTATGGCAATGTTAGAAAACATACCCCCATTTACTCCAGGTAATCGATTCCGTGAATATAAACACTCACTCGAGAGACGTACTAAGGGAGATGACTCTAGTTAGTTCGTCCTTCGTGATAAAATCCCCAACAGTGACAGACATTAATTGCTGAGCTTTCATGATTTTATTTCGGCATATCGACATTTCCTACCCAAGTAAATCATATACAAATAGAAAACCCCCGAACTGTTTACAAATTACAATATTCATTGGCACGGTGTGTGAGTGTGAGTGTGTGTGTGTGTGTGTGTCTGTGTGTGTGTATAATAATAAATCACGTGACGTAAATCAGATAAAATGTTTACGCAACGCCCTGTCCAGTAGCTAATACCAATTACATTGTGTAATGACATTGGAGCGGATCGATCGGTGCAGTAACCGCCATACTTGACTCTGACGTGGCTTACTAGCAATTTCCAGTGGGGCCTGTATGTCCAGGAAGAATATAAGCATATCCCCTACCTGTCCGGGTCCATTGTGTGCACTTCCGCGTCAGTAGATCTCGGATGTGTTGACGAGTAGGAGAACTACATGTCCTAGTGTTACACGACGACAGACGATGACGCTATCACGAGGGCTTCTGTGAAATTCATGACAGAACCGAAAGCGAAAGTAGGAATAGCCGTGCCATTGATAATCTATGTCAACAAAACATGCACGTGACAAACCACGTGACATCATGGATTTCATGTTGTCTATAGTTCATGCAGACGTTTCAAACTCTGTGATGCAAGGGACGTACAAGGGTAAACAAGCTGGATGGTATACGTCCCTGAAGGTGATGTTAGTATGTAGGCTGCATCCGTGGTGTTGTGGATAGTGCGTCTGTCCAGAGAGCGGAAGGTAGATGGCTCGATCCCCGGCCTCGTCACACCAAACAGACGTTAAATGAGGGTACTTGTTGTTAAGTTGCCTGGGGCTCGGTAGTAGGGAGTAAAGCAAGGCCTGGTAGGCGCGGAGTCAGTGTACTGTGTCCGCGAGTTCTCCGTGAGTTGGGTATCCCTGTTAAACTGCGGGGCTTTCTTAGAGACAATATTTTCGGTGATCAGGCTCGCTGACTTGGTTGATGCATGCCATCGAATCCCAATAGCGTGAATCGATGTTCATGATGTCAATCACTGGATTGTCTGGTCCAGATTCGAATATCAACAGACTGCCGAATACTCTTTCTAAAGGAAACAATGGTTCCCATCTGTTGAGGTTTACCTGAATGAGTATGGTTCTACGCCACTTTTAGCAGTATTCCGGCAATATCATGGTGGGAGACACCAGAATCGGGCTTTACACATTGTACCCACGTGAGGAGCTTTACATTTAAACTGCCTTCCTCCATTGAGCTTTACAGTGCACCACTTGACAACTTAAATCTTAGTGTGTATTGCAAAACTCCTATACAGCGTGATGAGCGGTAGATGGATGTTAGGGTGTGACAAGTGAACTATTATTATTATGACGAATGACTGAAGAGAATGGATGACAATATCACGATATAAACTCATAGATCTTGTTGTCGATCCACAAAGCGATCTTAGCGCCACGACTGTCGTAAGTCTGTGTTAAGTATAAGAGTTACGATCATCTTAGCGCTACGACTGTCGTAAGTTTGTGTTAAGTATGGGAGTTACGATCATCTTAGCGCTACGATCGCTTTGTGGAACGGTTGTCTGCCTATACAGCTGGTGGGATGTTGTGTTGACTGCTGTGAATCTGGTGTATTTAGAACACAACACTCCTATACAGCTGGTGGGATGTTGTGTTGACTGCTGTGAATCTGGTGTTTGTAGAACACAACACTCCTATACAGCTGGTGGGATGTTGTGTTGACTGCTGTGAATCTGGTGTTTGTAGAACACAACACTCCTATACAGCTGGTGGAATGTTGTGTTGACTCCTGTGAATCTGGTGTTTGTAGAACACAACACTCCTATACAGCTGGTGGAATGTTGTGTTGACTCCTGTGAATCTGGTGTTTGTAGAACACAACACTCCTATACAGCTGGTGGAATGTTGTGTTGACTCCTGTGAATCTGGTGTTTGTAGAACACAACACTCCTATACAGTTGGTGGAATGTTGTGTTGATTCCTGTGAATCTGGTGTTTGTAGAACACAACACTCCTATACAGTTGGTGGAATGTTGTGTTGACTGCTGTGAATCTGCTGTTTGTAGAACACAACACTCCTATACAGCTGGTGGAATGTTGTGTTGATTGCTGTGAATCTGGTGTTTGTAGAACACAACACTCCTATACAGGTGGTGGGATGTTGTGTTGATTGCTGTGAATCTGGTGTTTGTAGAACACAACGATCCTATACAGCTGGTGGGATGTTGTGTTGACTGCTGTGAATCTGGTGTTTGTAGAACACAACACTCCTATACAGCTGGTGGAATGTTGTGTTGACTGCTGTGAATCTGGTGTTTGTAGAACACAACACTCCTATACAGCTGGTGGGATGTTGTGTTGATTGCTGTGAATCTGGTGTATTTAGAACACAACGATCCTATACAGCTGGTGGGATGTTGTGTTGATTGCTGTGAATCTGGTGTATTTAGAACACAACACTCCTATACAGCTGGTGGGATGTTGTGTTGATTGCTGTGAATCTGGTGTATTTAGAACACAACACTCCTATACAGCTGGTGGGATGTTGTGTTGATTGCTGTGAATCTGGTGTATTTAGAACACAACACTCCTATACAGCTGGTGGGATGTTGTGTTGATTGCTGTGAATCTGGTGTATTAAGAACACAACACTCCTATACAGCTGGTGGGATGTTGTGTTGATTGCTGTGAATCTGTTGTATTTAGAACACAACACTCCTATACAGCTGGTGGGATGTTGTGTTGATTGCTGTGAATCTGGTGTATTTAGAACACAACACTCCTATACAGCTGGTGGGATGTTGTGTTGATTGCTGTGAATCTGGTGTATTTAGAACACAACACTCCTATACAGCTGGTGGGATGTTGTGTTGATTGCTGTGAATCTGGTGTATTAAGAACACAACACTCCTATACAGCTGGTGGGATGTTGTTTTGATTGCTGTGAATCCGGTGTATTAAGAACACAACACTCCTATACAGCTGGTGGGATGTTGTGTTGATTGCTGTGAATCTGGTGTATTAAGAACACAACACTCCTATACAGCTGGTGGGATGTTGTTTTGATTGCTGTGAATCTGGTGTATTTAGAACACAACACTCCTATACAGCTGGTGGGATGTTGTGTTGATTGCTGTGAATCTGGTGTATTTAGAACACAACACTCCTATACAGCTGGTGGGATGTTGTGTTGATTGCTGTGAATCTGGTGTATTAAGAACACAACACTCCTATACAGCTGGTGGGATGTTGTTTTGATTGCTGTGAATCCGGTGTATTAAGAACACAACACTCCTATACAGCTGGTGGGATGTTGTGTTGATTGCTGTGAATCTGGTGTATTAAGAACACAACACTCCTATACAGCTGGTGGGATGTTGTTTTGATTGCTGTGAATCTGGTGTATTTAGAACACAACACTCCTATACAGCTGGTGGGATGTTGTGTTGATTGCTGTGAATCTGGTGTATTTAGAACACAACACTCCTATACAGCTGGTGGGATGTTGTGTTGATTGCTGTGAATCTGGTGTATTAAGAACACAACACTCCTATACAGCTGGTGGGATGTTGTTTTGATTGCTGTGAATCCGGTGTATTAAGAGTTATAAGCTCCAGGGAAGGAGAACACTCTGGTGTGCACTGACAGGGGACAGAAGATATAATTGTCATGAACCCACAAAGTTGATTCCTCAATTTCACTCAAACTGAGACAGGACCTTCCCTTCCAGGCTGTGCCGCCAACTGTTTATTTACATTAGCAACAAATTACAAACAATGAGTTTTATCAAACTTTAATAAACATATACATTAACTATTGTTTAGCTTGACTCCACTATACATATATACAAGCAAGAGAAGGCTGTGAACATCAGACCTGGAGGACCTTGTACATTGATCATACTTCTGTGTCAGAAACAGTAAAAGGTAGATAAGGCCACATTTGGACATGCTGATGTCAACTTTACTTTCACTCCTCTAACATTTGTTTGTTTGTTGTTTAACCCCTCACTCAGCAACATATATATTTGGACTCGTCCCAGCCCTACAGGAGGGTTATGAAGGTGTCACATCCTGGGATGGAGCTTGTGATAATGAAGACAAAGGGAGATAACTCTAACTGGTACTCAATGACAGATTCCCATGTCTTGAAACAGCTGTCAAAACACACATCAATTCCGAAATGTTACAGAGTCCTAATATGAAAATCACACAATATCCAATATCAAATTCACCAAAACATCACATCCCTATCCTCTTTGAACTGGAAGGGGAAACAAACTTGAGAATTTTCAACTGTAACTCACCAACCATAAACGAGTAACAAGATTGCATAGTCAGCAATATAGCAATAATCTCATGATGGTCTCTGAGGCATGAGGTTTCTCGTCCATAAACTATTGAATGAAAGCTTCCATTTTGTCATTTTCATTTGACAGCCAGACAGGGATATACATGTATACTATTCAAGAGATGTTAAAGAATGTGAGACTTCTATACACCGCGGTGTACTGACTATTACCTACATGCCCAGCACACAGGAAGTACAAGCTATACTGTTAGGGGCATGACTACTTATAATTGTATCATAGATGTGGTAGTAGTCTTGACAATACCACAAAGAACATCCATTTCTTTCATATGATAGTTAATCCCTCGTGGCATGACTTAATATGAAGTAATAAGAAAGAGTCGGGTGCTCCTTAACTTCCCTTGAGTAGTATACATAATACAAGGGTACCATTTCTTCAGGGAGTGGGGAGAGTGATCATGTCATTGGTGTCCACATGTTATTTCCAAATAGGAAACATCTTATGAACACACAATGCCATTTAGAAAGTGGTCAAATGTAATAAATGTTACATTTGGGATAACACTTTCTTAGTAAATACAGATTCTCGTACTTTTTTGGTTAACTCCCTTCCTCACTCTGGCAGTGTGGGTTCGAATCCAGGACGGGACTCAACCCAAAATGTACGAGAATCTGTATTTACTAAGAAAGTGTTATCCCAAATGTAACATTTGTTACAGGAAACATCCTGTTTCCCACAAAATAGGTTTATCAATCGTAGCAGTGACAAGATTTGCAACTATGTAGACATTGCTCTCATCTACTATAATAAACTTTTCAAGAGAGAAATCATTGATGTTTACAAGTATCAGATTGTGATCATTCTGAGAAAAGTGTTAATAATCTGGTATTTATAGAGTATAGAAAACAGTGCATTGATCATGGCTGGTTAATCTGACTTAATATACTAAATATAATCAAACAAACAAACAGGTTGCTCAATAAACAAAAGTCATCAGAAGATGACAAATTCCCCCAGCCACCACAAATGAAAAAAAGAACAAATTGTTTGACTCTTACTCAAAGTCCAATTTGATGAGAGAACTTCTATCTAATCTGTCTGTCCTTGTACAAGAGTAGTTATTGTGCTATCAAAACAATACCATGGAATAAGGATACAGAACTTTGTATTTCTATGTCAAGTACACACCACTAAGAACAGTAAAAATATAACGCGTTGCCATGGAAACAAAAAATATATATTCTAAAAATCCCTAAATAGCAAAAGGCACCAGTTGACAACCTGGTCTTTGTGTGTGCATAGCTTTAAAAAGAGTGCCTATTGGTTTTAGAAATATAGTCTGGAGAAACACATTTCTAAGAAGCAGTGTTAGATATTGGCATATAGTCCTTGCCAAACTGCCCAATAGTTAAGGTATCATAAGGTAGTAGAAATTTGCCATTATTAAGGGTTTTGCTATATGTTTTAATTACAAGGACTAGTGGACTAAAACAGTTAGTTTCTATCGCTGTGAAGAGAGTCAAAGTCAAACGTGCTGCCATAGAAATGAAAAAATATAAATGCTAAACAGCCCTAAATTGCAAAAGGCACCATCTGACAAACTGGTCTTGTGTGTGCAAAGTGCCATGAAAGAATAGCTATTGGTTTTAGAGACATGGTCTGGACAAGGACACCACAATGAACACAGTCAAAGTCAAACTTGTTGCCTTGCAAAACAGGAAAAAATATAAATGTCCTAAATAGCAAAAGCACCTCTTCAGCCCTTGTTTAATATGTGTACATGTACCAAGTTTGGATGATAAATGTTGAACAGTTTTATAATTCTGTTCCGGAAACGACACCTACCTCCATTTCAGCTAAGTCTAACTTGTTTTCATGGATACAGGGAAAAATGAAATTTTGAAAAATTCCCAAATAGTAAAAGGAACCACTTCTGCCCTTGGTTAATAAATGTACCAGGTTTTGATAAAAAAGTCTTTCACAGTTTTCAAGTTGTGCTCCGGAAATGACTCACCATAATACATTATGAAATGCTATTAAATAGATCACAGGTAGGACAGTATGATGTGAGGTTAGGCATAAAAACATGATTGACACTGTGTCAGCAACGTAACATCAACAGGTCCCATTCAGTATTCAAGACAACAGGTGATCTATGATGTCATCACTTGGGAGCTGGAAACAATACCTCATGATACCGAGCTTGATTTCTACCGCGATACATACATGATTGTTGATTCCTCCTTTGGAAAACATTTTGTTTAGACTATTCGCACTGTCTGTAGACTCTCAGAGATCAACATTTCTCACTTCACGTGCACTATTCAACGTGTTCAATGTTATAAATAATTAGAGTTGTCCGAAATAGCACCAACTTTTAATAATGTAAAGGCACGTGGACAATCAGCTGTTTCCATTTACTTTTTATTTTATGGTGACCAAAATAAGAAAAACTTTGCAGTTTCTGTGTGATCTAGGGTACCCTATTGTGAACAAATAAGTGTGATACATGTTCAATAAATACTGTGTAATAGGAGTATTGTGTCCGCTGTTGTCACTGACAGGAATTCTACAAGCAAGGCATTCTGGGATTCGAACCCATGATACAGGGCCCACCTAAGGGACACAACTCTGCACAGTGGATTAGGCAACAGGGCCATCCGTTGCCACTCCTGGGAGCAGGGATGTGTGTGAGAGATCCTGTCAGAGCTGGTGTAGTACAGCTGTCTCTCGGTGACAGCAGGGATGTGTGTGAGAGATCCTGTCAGAGCTAGTGAAGTACAGCTGTCTCTCGGTGACAGCAGGGATGTGTGTGAGAGATCCTGTCAGAGCTAGTGTAGTACAGCTGTCTCTCGGTGAAAGCAGGGATGTGTGTGAGAGATCCTGTCAGAGCTGGTGAAGTACAGCTGTCTCTCGGTGACAGCAGGGATGTGTGTGAGAGATCCTGTCAGAGCTGGTGAAGTACAGCTGTCTCTCGGTGACAGCAGGGATGTGTGTGAGAGATCCTGTCAGAGCTAGTGAAGTACAGCTGTCTCTCGGTGACAGCAGGGATGTGTGTGAGAGATCCTGTCAGAGCTGGTGAAGTACAGCTGTCTCTCGGTGACACCAACTGGTGGGTGTGTGTGTGCTACAGCTGATCCTCCGTGACACCTTTACTGGCCAGCTCCTCCTGGACCCGAAACAAGTAGGTGTCGTCTGGGTATCCGAATCTGCCAAAAAATAACCAAACCCATAAAGATGTAATATAATTTCAAATGATATGTATTTATATAGCTAGAGTGTAGCATTAAACAAACAAATAAATATTTTGGATTTTCAGACCCACTTCATGTTTGTAAATGGTTACATGCATACATAAATGCAACAACAATGGTCTAAAAGTGATTTCAATAAGGCTGCCGCCGTGGCCATATTGAAATCTCATCAGGATTCCATGAACTTTTATTGAAACAAATGGTGCTACCGTTCATGCAAAGATGATAATGTGGATAATGTTAAGGACTAGACAGGCAATCCATTAGCCTCAGGTTGGGGTGAAATGATACATCGGTGCACCGGTGAATTAATCAGTTTTCAGGTGATGATACGATGCATGATATGTTTTTTTCCGTATCATTACGAGACAATACACTTGCCAAAATAAATTACTTACTCGTCGCAAGCGTATCAAGTTCACTACTATAAATAGATCTAGCTAGTTTTCCTTTTTAACCTGCTCCAAAATATTTATAGTCAAGAAGTTTCCATGCAATTTGATGTAAAGATGTGTATCATGATACATATCGTATCGTGATATGTATTATATCATGACCTATGTATCATGATATGTATCGTTACCGTGACCTTGCTGTATCGTTTCATCCCTAGCCTCAGGTCAGTCTAAATCAGTAGGGGTTCATCATTCAAACTGACAACCTTCCCACGGGGCGGAGACAGCTCACCTGGTGGGACCACCATCCACGTTCGTCTTGTGGTGGATGTCGTTCCAGGTGACCACGTCATCGCGGCCAGTGGTCGCTGACCTTCCCACTGTGAAAGTCAGTTTTCGATCAAAGGCCAGTTGGAGAAGTCGGCACACCTTCCGCCCCTCTCCATTAGCTGGCAAGAAGGCTACACGTGATGTTCCATGGTAACGTCGGCCTGGATGGGGATGATTGTGCTGCAACAGATAATAAATGATATTCTGATGATTGAATATAAACAATGATTTATCAGTCACACTATAGGAATTGATTGTATAGTGTCCATAATCATAATGACTGATTGATGAAAAATATATTATTCAAATGTATGTTTTTTATATTTTAAATGTTCAACCATTCATAAAATCTATCCAAAACAGTAGAGTCATGATAAAAGCAGATACTGTAAATCGTGAAATTAATGTGTCTTCAAATTACCCCAAGCCAAAAATGCTACAATGTACTCAATATCAGTGCGACGCCCCCCACCCCAACCCCCAGTGGAATTATACATATCCTTACCTTAATCCAACCTTAAATAAATCCAACCAAACACAAATAGCACAGCTAATTAGCGCTGAGTAGAGCACCTCCATAAAAAAATAGACAGTGTTTTCATAAAAACAACACACAGTTCATATGTTTGTTCTGTTGATTGGCATTAAGTTCAAAGACAAAATTAATATTTTGGGGGTGCAAAGTGGAACATGGGACCCCTGGCTGGCGATATGTGGCAACTTTATTGATGATAATGCCTAGAAGCATTCAGCCTATTTTCATGATAATCTTGGAGATATCATACATGGAGATTTCAGTGTTAGATTGAGGGAAATCAACCACTGGCACTCAATAACACTACAAGAATACAGAATACAAATGTCAGTTTATGCCACAATTTTGCTACAATTTGTATTGTTTTAATGATTTTAACCGCCAAATGTTTTTGCGTTCCCTAGGACTCACAATGTAAATTATTAGTGTCCATTTACAGTCTGTTTGCCTATTAGATACAATATTGTTAATTGTTATCTGGGTTACATCCAAGGCAGTTTCAATACAAGGGATAGTAAAGTCCGAGGGAAGAGAGGCTGTGTTTTACAATCACATGCATCACCGAGGAGCAGTGTTTTATCTGGCTGATCTACTCTTCCACACAACAACGATCCTCAAACAAACTCAATACCTCTAAGGTTTATGTACCACACAACATCACTAATCACTCTTATGTTTAATTTGTCAGGCTTTCTTGGGCTTGACCTCGTCATGATATGGCTGAAATATTGCCGATGTGATGTTAAACTTTAACTCACTCACTCTTGGGCTTGACATCATCAAACTGTGGGTTCTTCAAGATTATGTGAACATGTTCTTATTATGTTTTACAGAAATATGTCATTAACTTATGTAAAATCCTGAAACAGTCATCAGAGATCTAAGACTGTACTGGTTTAGACTAGTTAATGTGTAGTTTATTTCAACTTTGATAAATGTATGGGACCAATGTGCAATCTGGTTTTGTTTGGTGCAACTAGGTCTTCAGGTCATCATGCACCTAGTGCAAGCTAAATAAATCAAGTTCCTGAAATCAAGCCTTTACAATGTACTTACTGTCTGCCAACCATCTGGGAAATGGTACTGTATGGTGAGGAAGCCACACCCCTCGTATCCAGGTAGGCTGGGGAAGGATGCTGTATTCACAGACATCGTCCCTTGTGGCATGTTGCCAGTGATGACGTCATACACAGTCAGACACGTTGGACAGATGGGCTTACAGCTCCTGAAGCAGTCTTCAATGCATTTTTGGCAAAATTTATGACCACATTTGCCCAACACTTTCATATTTTGGATCAAGTCCATACAGATTGGGCACGTTTCTTCCTCTGCCCTGCCGACATCAGTAACCTTCAGGTCAGGCTGCTCTTCAGGAATAACTCTGTCTGTCTCTTCCAAACCGTCTTGATCTCCACCTGAACTGGAAGTTTCATTGCATTGTCCTCCCCATCCCGAACTGGTTCCCAGATGAGGAGTGTCTCCAGCATCATTACCACTGCTGTGCCCATGGGGCTTTCTACTGGGAACATCACAACCAAGAGAGAGATCTGCAGTTCTGGTTTGCAAATTGGTCATTCCTGGCTCATGGTATAGACCATGGATGGCACCAGTGCCGGCTTTCTCAGTGTCAAAGGCAGCGACCATAGCGCCGTTACTTACTGTTGTGAGTCGATTTGATCTCAGCTGTGGGCCTTTATTCCATGTATAGCTTCGATCAGAGCATTTGTGACCAGAAGCTCTGTGCGTTGTGTGTTCAGCGGAACCTTGTAGATGTTTCTTGGATGATGTCTTCGACATTAGTGTGCCACTGTTTTGTGTTGATGCAGGAGCTGGTTGGCTGTTTGAAAATCATAACCATTGATTAGGTCCAATTTTCAGATGAAAAATACTGCCAAAAGGCACTGTCGCTTAACTGATTTGTGTGTGAATATTTGCATCAGACCATAAAGGTTATAGATCAAGGGTAAACAAGACAATGCAAAGATAAGTGAGTTTGGTTCAACGCTGCTTTCAACAGTATTCCAGTTATATGACAGTGTGTCAGCTTACTGTGGGAGGAAAGCCCAAAGTAATGCAGTAGTTAGACATTTACCATTTCGGTGAAACCCACAAGCATGGGTATGGTGCTGACAAACCTAGAAACATAATTGTGCGAACTGAGATTTGAACCAATGATCATAGGTTTCTGGCATGCCAAATGGACACAACTCAGCTCAAAAAGTTGTGGCACGTCAGACAACCCAAAATAAGTATCAAAAGCGAGTGAGTATGATTTTACGCTGATTTTAGCAATATTCCAGCTATATCAGGCTAGGGGGCACCAGGAATGGGTTTCACACATTGTACCCATATGGAATATTGAACCTGGGCCTTCGGTATGATGAGTGAATGGTTTAACCACTAGGCTAGCTACCCCACCGCCCATAAGTTACTGAAGCTTAGAATCTACAAACAAGACTTTAGAAAAATCAGAAAACGTTATCAGTATGGTTACCATGGTTACTACATAGCTACATAGTGGTGGCAGAATAAGTCTCTGTGAGAGTCAGCTCAGTCTGTGTGGGTCATCCAACAAATACAGTAAACTACAGTTATAACAAACTCAAAGGGACCAACTAATTTTAGTTTGTTCTCTATCGCCATTCATAATATGCATTTCGCCCGTCAGACATCTTTTATCAACTCATGTGACATCATGTTACTCGATAAATAATAATAGTGTGCATTGGACATGTACAGAATATATCCGCTTCAATCACTGTGTTACTTTTGTTAACTGAGGGTGTAATTTGAGGACATGGTGTCAGTACTTCAGAGTAAATGAATTGCTTTCAATTGTTTATTGACGCTTTGAACAGCAGCGCTTGGCCGAGAAAGTTTTGATGGGCAGATTTGTGACACATGTGGAGCTCAGCTCAGGTTTTAACAGTTTGTTATACACTTAAACAGAGTACTACTTGAGTGAGTGAGTGAGTGAGTGAGTGAGGTTTTACGCCGCTTTTAGCAATATTCCAGCAATTACACAGTGGGGGACACCACAAATAGGCTTCACGCATTGTACCCTTGTCAGGAATTGAACCCGGGTCTTTGGTGTAATCAGCGAACGCTTTAACCACTAGGCTACCCGACTTCCTCTAAATTCTGGCATAGAGTCTGATAGTGTTAAATAGATCTTATGGTCTCCTGGACACACAGACATATGCTTTCTGATGACAAGAATTACTTCTTGTTTTAAGTTTGTGATGATCTCACAAAACCTTCGCAGTGTTCTCTCGAGCATCAAAGCTGTGGAGTCAAATGTTACCTGTTAAAACACTTCTCAATTTCCTTGTAGACAATATCTATAAGTTTCACTTGTGGTGTCACAATCTCTACATTGAGAGGCTTAGTATATCTTTTAAGCCTGTCTATTGCATAGCGGTGTAGGCCATCTGCCAATGCTCTGATGGCATCCTCTTGACCGATTTGACCGCTGCCTGGAAAAACATATCAAGATATCAGCATCATGTACATGAACAGGAAACCCTTACAAGTAAGTGCATAAAGAGGATTAAAAATTAAATTCTGTCCAAAGAAATTGGGAAAAAGCACAGTTTTGTCCAATATAAAGATTTTTCAAAAGCCAAAATTGTCATAAATTTAGTGGCTTTTCAACACTGAATTTAATGGAAGAATGCGACACTAAGTATCAAACACTGCATGTTTAACGCCACACTCAGTAATATTCCAGCCATATGATGGCGGTCTGTAAATAATCAAATCTGGACCAGACAATTCAGTGATTGACATCATGAGAAGCAATCTATGCAAATAGGCTGCGATGACATGCATCAATTAAATCAGCAAGCTTGATATTGTTATTCGCCTAAAATGACAAGCATGGGTTGTTTAAGATCAGCTCTAACCCAGATCTTCACCGGCCTTCCTATCAGTAAAACACAGCTGATGTTTGCACAACTACAAAATTAGTTACTAACATGACTTGAATTGGGAAATGTTGCATTCACATTTGGAACTTTTACTGATATGTGCTAAAGACATGAGGCCAATTATCTGCATTAGATATCACCTAGTTAAGTCCCTGAACCATCCGAAATTACATTCCAATTCGAAGTGCAGGAAATATATGCCTCCTGCAATAGGTCTTGAAACAGGGTGATACATGACATCACTTCTTGATACAAATTCCATATGCCTGCTGCAGTTGGACTTGACACCCAAACTGACATACACCACCTTGGGTTTGATTTGAAATTGAGTCATTTTGAATTATTGATAGTACATGTAATATGAAGAGGAAGATAAATATATTTACGTGTCACATTTTGCATGACTGATTTTAAACAAACATAAACAATGAAATACTTAGCCCGATGGCCTACAAGACAAGAATATCTTCTGACACATGCAAATATATTAATCAAATAATCTTGATGAGCTTATACTTAACGGTAGTATAATATTAATTCACATAGACCGGAAAGCGCAGTATGCATTATCAAATCATCTTAATTTCTGTTATAAACATCCAGTGACGTCATCCTATTGTTATCCAGTGGAATTGAATCTCATAAACAGGGATGTTATAATATATAATATCCTGGGGATATTTGCTTTATAATATGTCATAATATCCTGGAGATTTTATATAATATCCATAGGATCTTATTAATACAACTTCTGTTTACATTGTAACATATGAATTTTTCTTGTGACGTAAACGTAAAATCAATGACAAATGTTTTCTTTATATTCCCGAGGATCGAACACACAACCTTCATATCTGTAGCCCAGTGAGGATACCACTAGGCTACAGATGTGCTGATAAATCACAATGCTTTTAAGAATGTCTTTTGGAAGAACCGTATGCCAGCAACAGATATTTTACGCCTGCTTCCTAAGGTTCATGGAAAGTTCGTTGTTTTAAATTTCTTTTTCGGTTTATAAGTTAGATAAAACACTTCCATTCGGGTTTTTATTATATTTAACATTGTAATATCCCTGGGATTTTATATAATATATAATATATAACTTCCGTTCAGATTGTAACATGTAATGAAATGTAAAATCAAATGACAAATGTTTTCTTTATATTCCCGAGGATCGAACTCGCAACCTTCATATCTGTAACCCAGTGAGTGTACCACAAGGCTACAGAGATGTTGATAAGCCGCACTGCTTTTAAGAATGTCCTTTTCAAGATCCGGACGCCAGCAACAGATATTTTACGCCCGTTTCCTGAGGTTCATGGAAAGTATGTTCGAAACATAAAAATGTTGATAAATGTTGTTTTAAGTTTCTTTTTTCAGTTCATAAGTTAGATAAAACACTTCCCCTCGGGTTTTTATATCTAAAACCGTTATCCTTGGGATGCGAGTTTCAAATGTGATAGGAACCCTTGGTCGTGCTTTATTGTACACTTATAATGGGTTAAAATTTAGTTTGGGGATAATTTTAAGGTTCAAAATCGGTTTATAAGGAAGATAAAATACTTCCCCTCGGGTTGTTAAGATATTTAAAACCCTTTCCCTTGGAAAATCCCTCAGGATGCCGGTTTTAAATATCATAACAACCCTCGGACATGTTTTATCCTATACATAAAAACCCTCTGACATACTTTGTCCTACACATATATATAGAATACTAAACGAGCTCCCGTGTAATACCAATTTTATGAAACGAGTGAATAGTTGTGGTATCTGATGAGCGAAAGCGAGTCAGATACCACAACTATTCATGAGTTTCATAAAATTGGTTTTACACGGGAGCGAGTTTAGTATTTTATTTATTACTTGCCATTTAAAACGTTTTTAGAATTATACTGTCGAGTGTGAATAGGCTGACAGCTACACGATCCACGGCATAATCCAATTGAGCTTAACACAGTAATATTTCAAACACGTCAAAAGTTGAAACGTATGAATTTAATACCATACAACAGTCCACCTTTAGAATTCAGGCGTTCGTTCCACAAAATTATCGTAGTGTTAAGGTTATCGCAACTCACATACTTTAACTTAGACCAACGACTGTCGTTGCGCTACAGTACGATCGCCTTGTGGAACGGGGCTTGCACCTCAAAGTTTACAATCACGTCACAATACCCGATGACGTAATTTGTGGAATTTTGTTGCAAGATCCTTCGGCGAAACAATGCCATGTGACGTCAGCCTAGCAACAAGGTTGCTGGGGTCATCGAGTGTGCGTAAGCTCCTCTCAGTGATCTATCATCTCCACACGCAATGTCGTTGAATAAGCCAAGGGATGTTGAGAGCTTTCAATATTTGTTTGTGAAACGTGTTCCCAGAGTGCATAAGCACGCGTTTTGGTATTACACAATGTGTAATACAGCTGTATGTTTATTAAACGGGTGATCTCTTCACGGGCAAGTAATAAAACATTATATTCAGTTTGTGCTCTATGTTGGAACATCGACATCATAGTAGGCGCTTATACAAATATCATTACATTGCAGTAAGCAAAGGAGGATTGAGACATGTCTGACCTTGGGAGTAAAATGTGACATTGTAAGAAACAGGAATTCCTCATTAGCTGAGATCAATGTCTAATGACAGCATCACATTTAAAGTTTGTTACATTACTTTGATGTTGTCAGTTGAGTATATTGTGAACATTAGTCTCTACATATAGAATTTTCATTGTAACGGTAAAACCAGGAGCGAGGAAAATGCCCAAGGGCTTTCCCCGAGCTCAAGGTTTTACATTTTCAACCACAACCTCGTGGCATGTTCTATCAAACTTGTGAACTGTCTACATGGTCTAAATGTAAGAAATACCCGGAAAAAAACCCCAAAACATGGAGATACCTTACAGTGAAACAATACAGCATGTTGTGGTATTCGATCCAAGTGTGCGAGAAAAAAAACACATGCAGCATGGACCAGCTGGAGTCATGACATGTAAAATTGAACAACTTCTCATCACCTGCCCCGGTAGCTCAGTGGGAAAACAGTGGGTAACAAAACTTACCACCATATGTGAGGTTGCAGGATTGATTCACGTCATGGCATATTCACGTAAAAAGAATTGTGACTTTCAACAAATCAAAAAACACTATTGTGTTCATATCAAGAGGCCAGTTTATATAACGTCAATTGTAAAAGCTATGTATTACAATCAAAATGTAAAACAGCAGGATGAGGAATGACCTATTTCAAAACCTACGTTTGGCAGAGAACCGCTTCAAAACCTAGGTTGGGAAGAGAACCGCTTCAAAACCTAGGTTGGGAAGATGAGCTGATTACTAGGTTTACCCGAGGTTGTCAGGAAGCTAATGCAATATAGGGTGACACGGTGGTAGGTTCATAAATTAGTATTAAGCTAAAATAGCCTGTAGGCATTTAGTTTGATTTCATGTGCTTGTCCATGGCGATTCAATATAAATTAACAGTATTGTGAGAAGCAACTAGACTACTTCCTTAAATGATTATCTAAACATGCTAAAAGGCAGGCAGTCAATAATCTCTCACCTGTACCCAGCAATGGAACAGCTACTGTATCCACTTTGAGGAGATCTGATCTTTCAAGCACTTTGCAATACAGCCTTCTGACATCGCTGATAGAGCCACGATTAACAAGTACGACCGTGTGCAGCACATATTGGTATTTAACAAGATCACTTTTTATGTTTGTAACATACACTTCCCCTCCCTTTAAATGTCCTCCATTTGTTGTAAACAATTTTTCTCTTCTTTCTTCAAATGGCGTTCCAAGAAGATGAGCAATAGATCTTGTCACCTGACTCATAAGAATAACTTGTAGTCCCTCTCCAGTTGTGATGGCATCTGCTTCAGATTTAGATATGTCGCCGGAATATATGCGCACATTTATTCCAAGGCCGGTGTCATATCTCTTTTCTCCAAAACAATCAGCGCCATCTGCAGTTGCCCCACCACAGGCCTGATGACCACGATCTGCATCGGACCTCCTAACATCTTGCTGTCCCTGGAATGTAGAACCCATCTGTTAGGGTGACATGATACATGACTGTAATACTTGAGGCATGATATGTATTGACACAGGGACTTATCCAGGATTCCAAACTTAGTGCCCTTGGCAAGTAATTTGGTAAAATAAGTTGAAAATTTTGCAGCAATAATTTGTATATTTAAATACTTATCCTATCTCGCACTATGCATTTCTCAATTCTTTTTTCAATCCTAAGTGGAAATGTGGTTAAACAAAGGCTTCCAGCTTCTAAAAAGCAATCCACCCAAACACACCTAGCGTCACCATGGTTACCACCCAACAATCTGGGTCATTCACGCTCTTCGTGCTGGTCAACCTACATGCGCTGAACACAGATTCTCTTTCAAGAGCTAGTAGGCTGGAGGAATTGTGATATGGGGATGGACGGGCAGGCTACAGCATGTAAAATAATAAGATAAGTACCGTATTTGTCGTAATAAGCGCCCAGGTTGCTCTCAAAATTAAAAATAGGGGGCTCTAATTAGAATCTGATCTTTTTGAAATAAATAGAGTTGAAAGATAATTTTTGTGGTTTATGCTGACAGCCTGAAGTACGTATTATACGCGAATAGGGAAGGAAGCAGTGCGTATCATATGCGAATAGGGGTCGGAAGGTGTGCTAATTGGGATTGTTCACTAGCCAATTTATTAGCAAATCTCGACGTGGGCGCTTATTAGAGCAGGGCGCTTATTACGTCGAATACGGTATATAAATATACAATACATTGTACAAATTACAAATTGTTTAACTTATCCTATCTCCCACAAAGCATTTATCCCATGGTTGGAAGGTGGGGCATCCCAGCCTAAAAAGACAACAACCATAGGATATACACAAGGAAGCTGGTGCTAAACAGTGAACAATATAAAGTAACACTGTCTCGTGTCATAAAGACAAAATAGTGCTGTGACCCTGATACGTTGAACAAATGAAACACATGAAATCGGGAACATGTGAAACGTGTTCATACGTAAAGGAGCGGAGTGTAACTGAAAAACATTGGAAAAAGTGAAAAGCCAACATGGATTCTCTTGTGAGAGCACGTCACATCACTGTTGCGATTAGAAAGAGAATGAGTTGGCTGGGGAAGCCATGTGTTCATGTGTTGGTTGTCCGGCATGAAAAGCGTGCATGACCCAGATTGTCGGGAGGTGGCCATGGTGACGTTAGGTGTGCTCAGCTGGAAACCTTTAAGTACGTTTCCACTTAGAATTGAAGTGAGTGAGTGAGGATGGTTTAACGCCGCTTTTAGCAATATTCCAGCAATATCACGGTGGGGGACACCAGAAAACTTAGAATTGAAAGAAATGAGAAGTGCATAGGATATAATGTAATTTTGCTCAAATTGGTCAGTGACATACAAGTCACTCTATAAATCCATAATATTAATTATTACTGTACAACATGAATTGTGAAATTTTGAAAATGTTACTGACACTGCCTCAAGGTAGGTCTAGATAAATCTCTGGAGATATTTGTGCTGTTTTGCATGAAATTCTTCATAATTCATTTGGTCCTGCTGACAAAAGGTCATTGGTGTCAATTTTTTTCGTTAAACTAAAACATGACAGATTAATTTAAGCTTGTTCTAACAGTGCCATGCAATCAGATTTAACATTTTATTTGGTATAGCAAACTTAACCAGACTAGTTACTGGCCCAGAATTTTGACTACTTTTTGAAAACCAGTAGGGAAATCAAATACGAATCAATACACGGGTAGGCTATTGTGTATCGTATTGTCAGGGAATACACGGATAGGCTATTGTGTATCGTATTGTCAGGGAATACACGGGTCCGCTATTGTGTATCGTATTGTCAGGGAATACACGGGTAGGCTATTGTGTATCGTATTGTCAGGGAATACACGGGTAGGCTATTGTGTATCGTATTGTCAGGGAATACACAGGTAGGCTATTGTGTATCGTATTGTCAGGGAATACACGGGTAGGCTATTGTGTATCGTATTGTCAGGGAATACACGGATAGGCTATTGTGTATCGTATTGTCAGGGAATACACGGGTCCGCTATTGTGTATTGTATTGTCAGGGAATACACGGGTAGGCTATTGTGTATCGTATTGTCAGGGAATACAGAGGTAGGCTATTGTGTATCGTATTGTCAGGGAATACACAGGTAGGCTATTGTGTATCGTATTGTCAGGGAATACACGGGTCCGCTATTGTGTATTGTATTGTCAGGGAATACACAGGTAGGCTATTGTGTATTGAATTGTCAGGTACACGGGTAGGCTATTGTGTATCGAATAGTCAGGGAATACATGGGTAGGCTATTGTGTATCGTATTGTCAGGGAATACACAGGTAGGCTATTTTGTATCGAATTGTCAGGGAATACACAGGTAGACTATTGTGTATCGTATTATCAGGGAATACACGGGTAGGCTATTGTGTATTGTATTGTCAGGGAATACATGGGTAGGCTATTGTGTATCGAATTGTCAGGGAATACACAGGTAGGCTATTGTGTATCGTATTGTTAGGGAATACACAGGTAAGCTATTGTGTATCGTATTGTCAGGGAATACACGGGTAGGCTATTGTGTATCGTATTGTCAGGGAATACACGGGTAGGCTATTGTGTATCGTATTGTCAGGGAATACACGGATAGGCTATTGTGTATCGTATTGTCAGGGAATACACGGGTCCGCTATTGTGTATTGTATTGTCAGGGACACGGGTAGGCTATTGTGTATCGTATTGTCAGGGAATACATGGGTAGGCTATTGTGTATCGAATTGTCAGGGAATACATGGGTAGGCTATTGTGTATCGTATTGTCAGGGAATACACGGGTAGGCTATTGTGTATTGAATTGTCAGGGACACGGGTAGGCTATTGTGTATCGAATTGTCAGGGAATACACAGGTAGACTATTGTGTATCGTATTGTCAGGGAATACACGGGTAGGCTATTGTGTATCGTATTGTCAGGGAATACACAGGTAGGCTATTTTGTATCGAATTGTCAGGGAATACACGGGTAGGCTATTGTGTATCGTATTGTCAGGGAATACACAGGTAGGCTATTTTGTATCGAATTGTCAGGGAATACACAGGTAGACTATTGTGTATCGTATTATCAGGGAATACACGGGTAGGCTATTGTGTATTGTATTGTCAGGGAATACATGGGTAGGCTATTGTGTATCGAATTGTCAGGGAATACACAGGTAGACTATTGTGTATCGAATTGTCAGGGAATACACAGGTAGGCTATTGTGTATCGTATTGTCAGGGAATACACGGTAGGCTATTGTGTATCGTATTGTCAGGGAATACATGGGTAGGCTATTGTGTATCGAATTGTCTGGGAATACACAGGAAGGCTATTGTGTATCGAATTGTTAGGGAATACACAGGTAAGCTATTGTGTATCGTATTGTCAGGGAATACACGGTAGGCTATTGTGTATCGTATTGTCAGGGAATACATGGGAAGGCTATTGTGTATCGAATTGTCTGGGAATACACAGGTAAGCTATTGTGTATCGAATTGTCAGGTGAAATTGGCATTGAATGAATACTGAAAATCTTGAAATTAATGTGAGCATGAATTAAATGCGAAAAATGAGAGTGGTCTTTGTTCGCATTAATTAACTTCAAATTTATGTCTCCAAATTACTATGAACAATAAGACGACCTCACTGCACACTTTGAATAGCGGAAATACCAACTTGAATATAAACACAAACACAGTTTTTTGAGCAGCAGTTGTAACAAGTATATGTAACAATGTCATTCAAAGATTAGGAATTACACAATGGGCATCCGGTGAATGATTACTGCTGGGGTCAACAGTTCTACCTACTTGTGACAAGCTATTTGACACCTTCTCCTCATCATGCTCATACGAATCACTGAACTGTTGTTCATTCAATTATTTTATTGCCTTTGAACGTCCATAATGCCAGTCAACAGAGTAAACATATTAAAGACGTTGGATACCATTGTTCATGCGCATACCGGACGCGCATGTAACGGCGAGTACCGGTATTTGTAATGCAGTTACATCCCTTTGACTTGCGGCTAATTGCCTAAGAAATGTAAATTTGGGCAAGAGTTACATCCCCTGATTCATTATTTTAGGGGTAGGCTGTGTTGATCGAAAATAATTTGAATATCCTCTTGTAACATGTTGTTTTTATTTTATAATTTTATTTTACAATGAATAAACATTAGAAATAAGCCAGTTTGAAAAATATCTTGATTTTGTCAAATGCTTTTTTGACTGATGAATCAATTTTTGGGGAAAATGTGCTTTTCTTTAAGTCAAAAGATGTGTGAAATTAAAAATGTGTTGAGTTGAATTTTCATTTTTCTGGTTTGTGTCATATCAATACTGTAATATGTCTATTTAAAAACACTCATTTAATAATCAAACTTTAAAATGACCATTTTATTGGCAAAATGTTTTTATCATCCGGCGCCTCTAGATGGCGCCACTTATTAAAAAAATGCCGTGGTGACTTGGTTTTTTTATTGCGTAATTTGATTCAGGACATATTTTCCTACAAAATGATACCAAATATACCCATTTCTTGAATTTTTTGTATGGAACCTCTTTAACTGTGTATTGTTTTTTACAGGAGTGCTCTACTCAGCCCTAATAAGCAGTGCTATTTGCTGTTTGATTGGATTAAGGTAAGGATATGCATCATTCCACTGGGGATCAGGTGGGGTGGGGTTGGGGGGAGTCGCATTGATATTGAGTCTCATTTTTGGCTAGGGGTCAGCAGTCGTATTAATTTGGAGATGCATTAATTTCCAGATTTACAGTACATCAGAGAATAATGACTCCCCTACTCATATTTGGCTAGGGGTCATCAGTCGTATTAATTTGGAGACGCATTAATTTCCAGATTTACAGTACATCAGAGAATCATGGCTCCCCTTCTCATTTTTGGCTAGGGGTCAGCAGTCGTATTAATTTGGAGATGCATTAATTTCCAGATTTACAGTACATCAGAGAATCATGGCTCCCCTACTCATTTTTGGCTAGGTCGAGCGGATCTGCCAAACCCTCAAAGTCTGAATGATCATTTTGTAAGTCGTGGCTAACGACTTTCACTTGGTTGACATACAATGAGGATTTGCAGATTTTATTGTTTTCAGTAGCTAGTCGTATATTGAATCTTGATTGACCGCCATTTTGCTTTCTGTGACGATCGATATCAAATTTTTTTATAGTCAATAATTAAGAACAGATGAAAAAAGTATTCAAATAACTATTAGTATCAACGATATTTTAGTATTTATGATTATATTATCTGTCTTGTTTATAAATAATCTTTAGTTTAAAAAAAACCTTTTCCCGTGAGGTCACGTGATAACCAAATATGGGATAATAGTCTCGATCTAAATGTTACAACGCGTACACTTGAGCAGACTCATGAATATTAATTAGACCGTTCACTACGTTAACAGATCGTTATTATAACAGAAACAAACGTATGTTTTCCATATATATCTAAAAAGATATCATTTGTTATTAATTGTCTCGTGAATTAAACAAATTAAATTGAAACAATTCATAATTCATCATATTATGAATACGTAACAACTTGTAATGTGTGTGTAAAAAGTCGTACTAAAATACACGATTTGCAGGGGGCGTGGCCTAAATGCAAATATCCGATTGGGATTTTAAATTTTCCGGACCCCTGGGTCATCAGTCGTATTAATTTGGAGATGCATTAATTTCCAGATTTACAGTACATCAGAGAATCATGGCTCCCCTACTCATTTTTGGCTAGGGGTCAGCAGTTGTATAAATTTGGAGATGCATTAATTTCCAGATTTACAGTACATCAGAGAATCATGGCTCCCCTACCATCAATGATGCATGACCAGCAGAAGTCCCTTGTACAGGAGTATCCACTCTGCATCCGGCCCCGGCGAGCCCCTGGGACATACTTGAGGTGTTGCTTGAGACAGGTGGTCCTGTTGTGGATGATCGATTGTCATTGTAACCGTTATAGAAACTGCTTTTCTGGCTTTGGTCGGCCATACTTCCCTGTGTAGAGGGTGTCCAGCGTCAGTGAAGTTTCATCAGATGAGTATTTTTGTTTTTTCTTCAAAAGAGTGTCCACTGTTTTCTGGAACAGTAAAAGATTTGAAATAAGAATCAATGTCACAACAGCACTGACCATGGCCCTGTTCTCATTAGCAATATTTGTAGAACCATGGCTTGGCTAACACGACAAAAACAGTCATAAAAGATAACCTGATACACACAAAATATATTCTTTTGTGACATATGAGAATGCATTGGAATCACATGATAAAACTATCAACAAACAACATGTGGTGCCAAAGTTTTACAACACAAAACCCCAAATATAAGATATATATGCGATAAATCGTAAAGTATGAATTTTGGATATTTCACGATAAAATATTGTTCTATCATGTCGTCATTTCTTGAGATTTGAATATGCGCTCACAACTTGATGACATCATATGTTGTACAATGTTATTTTTGAGAGGGTAGTGTCTAGTGAATTGTTCCCGTTAGATGTATCTGGGGTACGTAGATAAACGCAGTGGCCGAACGATTGAATCAAAAGTGGGAGAGATATGACAATCAGTATTAGAAGAATATGCAGGAAATATCTAATAGACTTCTGCGTAAGGCATACAAAATGTTATTTAATCTCGATTCAGTAAGTAGACAGAACTGGGCAAGTTATAGGGAATCTCACCCGAGTGTCTTTTGATATCAAATATATCAACACGAGTTGATAAAAGTGGAAAAATTCCGAGGCTTGCTGAGGATTTTTGCCACTTTTATCAACGAGTGTTGATATATTTGATATCAAAAGCACGAGGGTGAGATTTTATTTATCATCCAACATCATTCTTTCAACTTTTTCAATTTGTAGACAGTAATTAGCAGTGTCTTCAGTGTAAAAAGTACTGCAAACAGCTTCAGTAGCAGAGCCATTAGTGATGTCATTTGATTGTGACGTCATGGTAACCAGTGACGTCACAATGGTCTACAAAGCATTGTGATGTAATTTCATTGCAGCGATATCTACAGTGTAGATATCGCTTGATCTCATCAAAGTGATATCTCCTGTGGGAGCCAGTTTGGGATGATAAAAGTTAGTCTTATACTGTTTAATTCAGGTCTTGGCTATGCTTGGCTTTACCAAGATGTTTGATGTATAGTTTTCTTTACCATCTTCAAACCAGATTGAATGATATGTACAGCCATGAATGGACAAATACATTATCATCTATTACAGCTAAAATGGATAGAATTATCATTAAACCGCCTGTATGTTCTCAGAAATGAGCAGTCCACTGTTACTTGATAATGCCCTCATATTGCTTGACGACGGGCCATTATCCGATTGTTGTTGGGTGACATCACATGGCGTTGAAAAGTGATGTCATCCTGATTGTTCTCATCTTCCCGAGGCAAGAGAGTAACTGACTTTCAAAGTCCAGTTTCCACCCTTGCCGAACTAGGCTGGAATTACTGTAGCGCCACCAGTGGCTATTACCAGCTATGTCCCTTTTAAGCCTCTCCTATGGACCAGTCAGATTCCACCTCTCGTATCACTTGCGTTTGCTTCACACAAAATGGTGGCGCCCAGTCAGGACGATCTGATCGATAATCAATATCTATATTAAGATAAAACGTGTCTTACATCGCGAAATGCATCAAATCACGTGAGCATCTTGATTAAAAACATGAATTTTTTTTGAAAATATTTGCTGTCAACGTGTTGGCGGTGCACATGCTTTGCAAATCCTGCAATTGACCGAAATCTGAACGACAGTTAACGAACCGGATTTCGATTTCGGTGCGCGACTTTTATTGGACTATGCATAGACTCGTTAGTCCAGCCAAAATGTAACTCCATAATACCAGCCTAGTTCCGCAAGGGTGGAAACTGGACTTTTATAGGTAGTTAACTCCCTTGCCTCGGGGAAGATGGATTGTTCTATGATGTTTCTATATTTGTAAACCTGGGTCAGTGACATTTATTGTGTTGACTGCAGTAAATGTTTCAAAACCGATATTGTCGTTTATTTTTATTTGATAACAAATTCTATCCATTTAAGCTATAATAACCCTTATATAACCCTAATTACACTTTTAGTACTAAATGCAAATATTGCGCACAAAATAGATTTGAGCTTGTGTACATTTGCTACAAAGCTTAGTTTTAACACAGGAGACACCACAAATTTCTAAACAATATCGAAGAACTGTATCATTTCACCTTTATATGTTCATACTAAGAAGATAATCAAAAGCAATTCATACCAAAAAAATATGTAATTCGACCGTCAGTGAAACAATTTGTTTGCCTTAAGGCAACCTCAAATTATCGAGATTTAAAAACTATTTCTATTTCAAATAATCCTTCAAGTCCAGAAATGTACTGAAACGAAACACGTGAATCAATTTGTAAAATGATCCTGTACTGCATTGTACGCACTTCATTTAGGGCCATGGCCTTCCATAAATTAACATTTTAATTTAATTTTGAATTTAAAGTTAATAGAGAATATTTATTTTCTAAATCAGCAAATCCCTTCCTGATCACATGAACTTTGAAACTGATCAGCACAGACGTGTCAAGAGTGAGTGAGTTGGGTTTAACGCCGCTTTGAACAGTATTCCAGTTATATCACAGCGTGTCAGCTTACTGTGGGAGGAAAGCCCGAAGTGATGCAGGTCTCAGACGTTTACCACTTCGGTGAAACCCACGAGCACGGGTATAGTGCTGACAAACCTAGAAACATAATCGGGGCGAACCGGGATTCGAACCCACAATCATAGGTTTCTGGCGTGCCTAAGGGACGCAACTCTGCACAGCGAATCGCGGCCCCTTAGACGACTGGGCCACCCGTGCCCCCAGACGTGTCAAGACGTGTCCTCCAGCTCATATAACATTTAGACAGTAGAAATAAAATCAAAATAATTAATCTATTTAGACATGTACTTTTCGATGATAGTTCTACCTGTGCTTGTGTCACGGTACACAAAAGACATTTGGCGACTTGCCAACTAGCTGTGTCGTGCGCAACACCCACTCGGCAAAGACTGAATGAGGACCCGGTATAAACACTGCGCAGTGTAAAATAATCAAAAGGGGTCATTTAGTGTGTTTAGTGATCTATGGGGGGCCTCGCATCCAGTGAAAAGGGAAAGCAAGAAATGACACAGGATGTAAGGTCTACCCCGCTGACAGTGACACCGCAGTGAACGGTTCATTCCTTGACGAAGTTTGAACCAAAGAACAGGCGACCGTTGAACCACTCACCTCGTATCACAATTACAGTTTAACATTGAAGTCAACTGTGACAGCAGTTTGAATGAATATATTAGTTGTCTTATCACTTACAAAGTGAAGTTCTCCTATTCCTATTTCAGCCTCATCTCATGTTTTGTCGTATCATGGCTTTGCACAACAAACCGAAAGAGAGAACACCCGGAAGTGCTTGTGTGCTTATTCGATTAAAACTCGAGAAGCAGGCAGCCAGTCCAACAGGTCGGTGAAGCGCATGTAAAATCATGATAATTCCCTAGCACGTCGGTCAATCCGCGGTGTTGCTTCCATTCCCAGCCATGTATAGACCATGAAATTATCAACGTCTTGCCAACAGATGCATTTTTTAATGCAAATAGGGCAATAAGACACTTCTAGATTGATATAGATAATAAATATGGGCTTTGAATGACTTCAATCAAAGTTGCTGGGACAGCTAATTCCTCCGAGCATGGTGTATCCTGGAACTGGCACCGGCCGAAATGTCATGCAAGATATGTTGTGCTTCAAGTTAGTATGAGAATATATTTATATGGGTTAGGTCAAAGAAAATTATGCTGCTGTCTCTGCTAACACAATGGTATGTGGATGTTTGCACTCAGATAAGCAAACCCATCCCGACATTGTTGGATGGATTACGTACATATCAATGCAACTGAACACTGAGCATGCTGAGTCGTGCGTCAGTAGAGAGACTATTTTGGAGTGAGCGAGTTATTTAAAGACGAGAGCCTTATATATACACACACACACACACACACACACGCACGCACGCACGCACGCACGCACGCACGCACGCACACACATACACACACACACGTGTGTGTGTGTATATATATATATATATATATATATATATATATATATATATATATATATATATATATATATGAAATATTAAAACCTTCAGCTAAGGATGGTAAACAATTTTATAAAATAAATCCATACAAAATCAAACAATAGATAATTTTTATTACGTCGCTAGGAGATATAATATAAACAGTCTGCTTCACACATGATGCCCCATGCATGCTGTAAACGTCATCGATTACCGTAAGTCATTGAATAGACGCCCGGGCGTCGATTTATTTCAGAGACGTCTTACACCAGGTGTTTATTCAAGGTAGGCGTCTAATTTTAAATTACGGTAAACACTATCAATTTTCATGAAGATAGTACGTGTAATTGTAACGAAACGTTTCTGGTTTGCATTTAGTGTGATAACGGTTTTGGTTTCAATATTCTTTTAGTGTGTACCATAAGGAATACCTGTGTTTAGAATTTTATCCGACTTCTGTTCAAGACAGGCGTTTATTGATTTCGAGAGTCTGTCGTGCCTGACATACGTCTATTCAAGGATTTACGGTATGATTGTGGCAATGGTGGGCAATTCTAGTAATAACTGCTCAAGATCTCTCAGATATACTGCAAGCGATAAATTGAAGTTGTTATATCCTTTGAATGACCCTCTTGTTTAGTGTTCAGATTACTGAGAGTGTTGGTCCTCTTGTTTAGTGTTCAGATAACTGAGAGTGTTGGTCCTCGTATTTAATGTTCACATTACTGAGAGTGTTGGTCCTCTTGTTTAGTGTTCACATTACTGAGAGTGTTGGCCCTCGTATTTAGTGTTCAGATTACTGAGAGTGTTGGTCCTCTTGTTTAGTTTTCACATTACTGAGAGTGTTGGTCCTCGTATTTAATGTTCAGATTACTGAGAGTGTTGGTCGTCTTGTTTAGTGTTCACATTACTGAGAGTGTTGGCCCTCTTGTCAAGCGCAGTGTTTAGATTACTGAGAGTGTTGTCCTCTCGTTTCGTGTTCAGATTACTGAGAGTGTTGGTCCTCTTGTTTCGTGTTCAGATTACTGAGAGTGTTGTCCTCTTGTTTCGTGTTCAGATTACTGAGAGTGTTGGTCCTCTTGTTTAGTGTTCACATTACTGAGGGTGTTGGTCCTCTTGTTTAGTGTTCACATTACTGAGAGTGTTGGTCCTCGTATTTAGTGTTCAGATTGCTGAGAGTGTTGGCCATCTTGTCAAGCGCAGTGTTCAGATTACTGAGAGTGTTGGTCCTCTTGTTTCGTGTTCACATTACTGAGGGTGTTGGTCCTCTTGTTTAGTGTTCAGATTACTGAGAGTGTTGGCCATCTTGTCAAGCGCAGTGTTCAGATTACTGAGAGTGTTGGTTCTCTTGTTTCGTGTTCACATTACTGAGGGTGTTGGTCCTCTTGTTTAGTGTTCACATTACTGAGTGTTGGTTCTCTTGTTTCGTGTTCACATTACTGAGGGTGTTGGTCCTCTTGTTTAGTGTTCACATTACTGAGTGTTGGTTCTCTTGTTTCGTGTTCACGTTACTGAGGGTGTTGGTCCACTTGTTTAGTGTTCACATTACTGAGAGCACGGTCAGGTGGAGCTCTGTTCTCCTCATATTGGATTTACAGTAGAATCTCGTATCAAGTGCATTTAAACGTTTCCCATCATGTCTGAAAACAGATTTTCGAGATGTTCGAGATGACAACGTTTCACGGTGTGTGTCAGCAACTGAAACTCTCCATAACATCACACGAGGAAAGGCGGGATTCAGTACATCTAACCAGTAAAAGTGGTTGTGTGTGACGATTTTATATTCATAAAAATGGTCTATGCAGACACATTAAGTCGATTAAGTCCTGTAAAAATATCATAAACAACAACAGCAATATTTTATTCCCAAGTTTCAGTGTTGACATATACACGTTTTCATCAATGTCTGTACTTCACAACCGGAGTCGATCCAAACTGGTATATCAGCTACCGAATTCACTTGAGCCAGATAAAGTACACACGGCATGCTCTAGCTTTCTCTCGCTTGTTATCTCCCCTGTTCCAACTTATCTTCGTCGGCATTCGTCACTACTCGCCCCTTTCCGTAACCTGCAAGAAGCTATTTGGCTTGTCCCTGAATAACACGAGTTGGTCACGAATGCTTCGTCGGATAACACTGTCTTGTGATGTATCGTGTTTTGAGAGTTTTCACGTCGAAGTGCCCACTTTACAGACAGTAGCTGCAAGTGTCGACATTACTAAGAGTATTACCTAAGTGCCAACATTACAGACTGTACTTTACAGTATCGACATCACTGAGAGTAGTTACCATATGCCACCATTGCATAAGGTACTCGCACTAAAACGTAGCTACTATATTACTAAGGGCAGTTTCTCAACGTGTCCATATTGCGGAGGATACTAACCTTGTTACACAGTGTCCACATTACTCAGTGTATAGACCATACCCGTGCTCGTGGGTTTCACCGAAGTGGTAAACGTCTGAGACCTGCATCACTTCGGGCTTTCCTCCCACATTAAGCTGACACGCCGTGATATAACTGGAATAATGTTAAAAGCGGCGTTAAACCCAACTCACTCACTCAGTGTATAGACTTCTAAGTGTTCACATTGCATAATGTATTCGCTCTGTACTTAGTGTCCGCATAGATGAGGGTAATCTCTTCTACGTGGTCACATTGCGGAGGTCTTAACCCTGTTACTAAGTGTCCATTACTGAGGGTATTGACTTCTAAGTGTCCGTATTACGAAGGTCTTTTTTCCGATACTTTGTGTCCACATAGCTGAGGGTAATCTCTTCTATGGACCACATTGCGGAGGTCTTATCCCTGGTACTAAGTACCCATTAATGGGGGTTTTGACTTCTAAGTGTCCGTATTACGAAGGTCTTTATTCCGATACTTTGTGTCCACATAGAGGCGGGTAATCTCTTCTACGTGACCACATTGCGAAGGTCTAAATCTCGATACTGAGGGTATTGTCTGTTAAGTGTCCGCACTACTAGGGTACTCGCCGTGAGAATTGGTATCTCGCAAGTTAGGATAGGATCCGCTGGGTGGGAAGGCCGACATGGGATACAACATCTCCGTGGAAGCGCGGGAGACATCTAAGTCTTCAGTAAACACTAAAGACGTGGCCTCCGACCCCGAATAGTCGCTCAGGGGCTTTAAGTGGGTCTCTGGGTAATCCTGCTTGGGGTAGGGACTGGATGGGGGAGGGTTGTTGGGGTAGGGACTTCTGGGGAAGTCGCCGGGTGGGTATCTTCCAGTCGCGGGGAAGGATGGAGACGGGTACAGGTGACGAATGGGGTAACCGGTATCAGGGTAACCGTTTGGTGGGTATCCCGGTGACATGTGGATAGCTGGATTGGGGTAGCCGGGTGGAGGGTAGAATGTTCTGGAAGACACAGTAGATATTTCACTGTAGTTGGAGAGACGGGAGGAGGAGGGTGACGGCAGTTCTGAACTTGTGTCTCTCTCGTCCTCTGTGTCTCGGGACTGTCTGGAGTAGCTGGACATATTGGAGGGTGCGCGGTCATCGGGAGGTCCACTCTCCCTCGGGTCAACCATCATGGAGGCGGCGCGCTCAGGCGGTGCTCCCTCATCCCTCTGGTCAGCAATCTTGGAGGGTGCGCGATCATCAGGAGTTCCACTCTCCCTTTGGTCAACCATCTTGGAGGCTGCGCTTTCAGGTGGAGCTGCCTCCTCCCTCCGGTCAGCCATGTTGGATTTACTGTAGATTCTCGTTTCAAGACTTCACCAACACCTTTATTGGCGTCTCGCTAAACTGAAAACAATATGTCAAAATTTAATTCAAAATAAACATGCATTCGGTTTAGCCTAACAAAAAAGGAAGCGATAGTATGTCAGGAAAATATAAGAACAATCACCATTATTACGTATGTCAAAGAATAACACTACCCCATGTTGCTTTACATGATCCGTGGGACCCGTGAAGACCCGGGATAGAACAGGTTCTCAGCAACCAATACTTGCTGTAAAAGGCGACTATGCTTGTCGTAAGAGGCGACTAACGGGATCGGGAGATCAGGCTCGCTGACCTGGTTGATGCATGTCATCGTATCCCAATTGCGTGGATCGGTGCTTATGATGTCAATCACTGAATTGTTTGGTCCAGACTCGATTATTTAAGACCACCGTCATAATTATAGCTGTAATATTGCCGAGTGCGGCGATAAAAAACAAACAAACAAAATAAAAAACTTTCACGGATCATATAAGGTAACAAGGGATAGTGTAATTCTTTGACATAGAGCACCGGTACCTCTAAAGATATCCTATGGCAGTATAATATTATTACGTGATTTTGGCAGTCATCTTGAAGTTTGTGTGACTTTGAAGTAACGTTTGCACTATATTCTAATGGCCAGAATAGACTATAAGGATACATAAAACTGCTTTTGCGTGTGTGTAGTCGTGTGTTCATGAGAGCTGGTAGTGCGATCCAGCGTCCAACCAAGGCATGCGTTGTGTGTTACAGGTCGGGGTTTAACAGCCCGCCAGATAATACTTCCCTCACAACAGCGTAAAGTAGGTTCAACTTGACAGTTGTATCAATAACCATGTCATAAATCTCACACCGTCTGATCACTAAGCCTACTCAGGCAGCCGCGACGTGGGGCACACTTGACGTATCTGTTAGATCCCCTGATCCGTCCTACGTGGTGTTGCGTGTGCCAGCCTATTGTTTGTTTCCGAGAGGTGTGTTTTCAGTTGTGTTTCAAAGTGTCTCTCTTCCCTGCTTTAGTTAACTGATCACTTACAAGTATATATTTTGATTAAAGTATATTTACAGCAGGAGAAAATGATTACGCGCGTTTGAACTCAAATATACAGATCTAACACTTGAGTCTATTATCACCATAATCATCCTTATCCTCATCATCTTCGTCAGTGTCATTCTTTACCCGTGAAGATCCGGGGTAGAACAGGTCTTCAGCAACCCATGCTTGCCGTAAAAGGCGACTATGCTTGTCGTAAGAGGCGACTTACGGGATTGGGTGGTCAGGCTCGCCAACTTTGTTGATGCATGTCATCGCATCCCAATTGCGTGTATCGATGCTCATGATGTCAATCACTGGATTGTTTGGTCCAGACTCGATTATTTACAGACCGCCGTCATAAAGCTGGAATATTGCTGAGAGCGGTGTTAAACAACAAACAAACATTGTCATCATTATCATAATCCCCCAGCTTTGTGGTCAGTCTGATCATTCCGGTTCGATTCCCGACAGGGGTATAATCTGTGAAGCCCATTCTTGGTGTCCCCCGCCGTGATATGACTGGAAAATTGTAAATTCGGCGTAAAACGATCCTCACTCACTCACTCGTTGTCACTCCCAATGTGGATGAGGATGGTTACCATATGTAACCTTATCCTTGCTCTTATCACTGTTACAGTATGGATAGATTACGGTACATAGCTGACTGGGAACGAGTGTCATTAATATGAGTCAGATTGGTCATTGCCACCATGGAATTCCCGATAATCATCAGCCTAATTGAAATAATTATCGAACAAGGCGCTCGACATGCCCCGTGTGTCAGTCTCCGACAGCGGAACATACTGCTAGGAGACCGGCTCATTATTGTGATGTGGCTGACCTGGCATCTCTCACAGAGAATAGCAGGGAAATTAAATCATGCATTAATAAATAGCTAATTTACAGTAATTTATTGAGGTCCATATTGCGGTCGATGCGATCCATTTGTGTCTTATCAGAACTTGTACTACACGTTTACTACGTCCGATGATGAGTAATTAGTACCAAGTAAAATCTGGTAATATTTCTCTATATACTCGGTATAAGATTATACACTAACACACACAATCTTGGTCATACACTTCTATACACAACACTAGTCATACACTTATATATACAACACTAGTCTATATACACAACAATAGTCTTACACTTCTATACACAACAATAGTCTTACACTTATATACACAACACTAGTCATACACTTATATACACAACACTAGTCATACACTTATATACACAACAATAGTCTATATACACAACAATAGTCTATATACACAACAATAGTCTTACACTTCTATACACAACAATAGTCTTACACTTCTATACACAGCAATAGTCATACAGCTATATACTCGGTGCAAGATGACACACAAACAATCGTCATATGTACTTATATACACAGTGTCCGACGTTGGCTGACCGTGAAAAAAACCAACACTGATATTAGTCATCTGACACATACATTAACAGTTCAGAAATACAGTTAATATTTTTAAGTATCACAGACGAACCATGTTCATGTCTACGTCTTGTCAGACAGACATAACCATTAGCAGTTCAGAAATACAGCTAATATTTTTAATTGTGTCAGACGAACCATGTTAATGTCTACGTGTTTTCAGACAGACATAACCATTAAAAGTTCGGAAATAAAGCTAATATCTTTATCACAAACTATGTTCTAAACTTACATGCTCACAGCCTGACATAATGGTTTCGTCTCCAGGTTTTATATTCATCCAGGTTGTGTAGACTCACGACAGCAGTATCGCGCCTCAGTAGGTGTTAGTCAGCATGAAACACGAAACACCAGGTCGCGAACAGAAACATGAAACACCAGGTCACGAACAAACCCCTTGTAAAACCACGCCACACAGGAGGAAACACAATCCCTTTTCCCAGTGAGTGTTACAGGCAGTCATTGATTGAGTTGTGAGCTGATCGAAGAGATACGATCAGCTGGTTTCAGCTTTAGAATGTTGTCAATACAGCGGAGACTCGGCAAGGAGAAATATTTGCAAATCTTTTGTTGACAAGATATCAACACAGCGTTACTATTGTAGAACCCCCCGCGAGACCGATGTATGTGTGAAGTGTTCTGTGTGGCTACATACTCGTCAATGTATCAATTTGTTTGCTGTTTTGCTAACGTATTAATAAGATCGATTCAGTTCTTACTGGGCGTATGTCTCTTAATAACTGCACACACCATACACACCCAACACCAACGTCAGTGCCCATACACACCCAACACCAACGTCAGTACCCATACACACTCTCACACCAACGTCAGTACTCAAACACACCCCACACTAACGTCCGTACCAATACACACTCCCACACTAACGTCAGTACCAATACACAGTCCCACACTAACGTCAGTACCCATACACACCCAACACCAACGTCAGTACCCATACACACTCCCACACCAACGTCAGTGCCCATACACACTCGCACACCAACGCCAGTACCCATACACACCCCAAACCAACTTCAGTACCCATACACACTCGCACACTAACGTCAGTGCCCATACACACCCAACACTAACGTCAGTACCAATACACACTCCCACACGAAAGTCAGTACCCATACACAGTCCCACACTAACGTCAGTACCCATACACAGTCCCACACCAACGTCAGTGCCCATACACAGTCCCACACAAACGTCAGTGCCCATACACAGTCCCACACTAACGTCAGTACCCATACACAGTCCCACACTAACGTCAGTGCCCATACACAGTCCCACACTAACGTCAGTACCCATACACAGTCCCACACTAACGTCAGTGCCCATACACAGTCCCACACCAACGTCAGTACTCATACACAGTCCCACACTAACGTCAGTGCCCATACACAGTCCCACACCAACGTCAGTACCCATACACACTCCCACACCAACGTCAGTGCCCATACACACTCCCACACGAAAGTCAGTACCCATACACAGTCCCACACTAACGTCAGTACCCATACACAGTCCCACACCAACGTCAGTGCCCATACACAGTCCCACACAAACGTCAGTGCCCATACACACCCAACACCAACGTCAGTACCCATACACAGTCCCACACTAACGTCAGTACCCATACACAGTCCCACACTAACGTCAGTACCCATACACAGTCCCACACCAACGTCAGTGCCCATACACAGTCCCACACAAACGTCAGTGCCCATACACACCCAACACCAACGTCAGTACCCATACACAGTCCCACACTAACGTCAGTGCCCATACACAGTCCCACACTAACGTCAGTACCCATACACAGTCCCACACTAACGTCAGTACTCATACACAGTCCCACACTAACGTCAGTACCCATACACAGTCCCACACCAACGTCAGTGCCCATACACACTCTCACACCAACGTCAGTACCCATACACACTCTCACACCAACGTCAGTACCCATACACACTCCCACACCAACGTCAGTGCCAATACACACCCAACACCAACGTCAGTACCCATACACACTCCCACACCAACGTCAGTACCCATACACACCCCACACCAACTTCAGTACCCATACACACCCAACACCAACGTCAGTACCAATACACACTCCCACACCAACGTCGGTACCGATACACACCCCACACTAACGTCAGTACCAATACACACTCCCACACCAACGTCAGTACCCATACAGAGTCCCACACTAACGTCCGTACCCATACACAGTCCCACACCAACGTCAGTGCCAATACACACTCGCACACCAACGTCAGTGCCCATACAGACCCAACACCAACGTCAGTACTCATACACAGTCCTACACTAACGTCAGTACTCATACACAGTCCTACACTAACGTCAGTACCCATACACAGTCCCACACCAACGTCAGTACTCATACACAGTCCCACACTAACGTCAGTGCCCATACACAGTCCCACACCAACGTCAGTACCCATACACACTCCCACACCAACGTCAGTGCCCATACACACTCCCACACGAAAGTCAGTACCCATACACAGTCCCACACTAACGTCAGTACCCATACACAGTCCCACACCAACGTCAGTGCCCATACACAGTCCCACACAAACGTCAGTGCCCATACACACCCAACACCAACGTCAGTACCCATACACAGTCCCACACTAACGTCAGTACCCATACACAGTCCCACACTAACGTCAGTACCCATACACAGTCCCACACCAACGTCAGTGCCCATACACAGTCCCACACAAACGTCAGTGCCCATACACACCCAACACCAACGTCAGTACCCATACACAGTCCCACACTAACGTCAGTGCCCATACACAGTCCCACACTAACGTCAGTACCCATACACAGTCCCACACTAACGTCAGTACTCATACACAGTCCCACACTAACGTCAGTACCCATACACAGTCCCACACCAACGTCAGTGCCCATACACACTCTCACACCAACGTCAGTACCCATACACACTCTCACACCAACGTCAGTACCCATACACACTCCCACACCAACGTCAGTGCCAATACACACCCAACACCAACGTCAGTACCCATACACACTCCCACACCAACGTCAGTACCCATACACACCCCACACCAACTTCAGTACCCATACACACCCAACACCAACGTCAGTACCAATACACACTCCCACACCAACGTCGGTACCGATACACACCCCACACTAACGTCAGTACCAATACACACTCCCACACCAACGTCAGTACCCATACAGAGTCCCACACTAACGTCCGTACCCATACACAGTCCCACACCAACGTCAGTGCCAATACACACTCGCACACCAACGTCAGTGCCCATACAGACCCAACACCAACGTCAGTACTCATACACAGTCCTACACTAACGTCAGTACTCATACACAGTCCTACACTAACGTCAGTACCCATACACAGTCCCACACCAACGTCAGTACCCATACACACTCCCACACCAACGTCAGTACCCATACATAGTCCCACACTAACGTCAGTACCCATACACACCCAACACCAACGTCAGTGCCCATACACAGTCCCACACCAACGTCAGTACCCATACACAGTCCCACACTAACGTCAGTACCCATACACAGTCCCACACTAACGTCAGTACCGACCGAGTACCCAAAAAATAAGATTACACAATTTACAAATGTGGAAAATCGAAACCCGATTGTAATTGTTACGAGCCAACACTCTTACTACTGAGCCTACCCAAACGCCAATATTAAATGAGAAAGAAGTTTGTAATTATAACTGTTTGGTTGCTCATATTTTGGAGAAATGGACATTTCTATATGGACGGCATGGTTGCGCTATGACATTTGCGTAGGAACTACATCCACGACTAAAAGAAGCCAAGAAAGGTCACTGGTTTACCCAAGTGTATCCATTGTCAAATGTTTTTTTTATGAAACTGGTGAGAGGAAAGATGAGATGGCTAACAGAAGTAGAAAAGAAAAGGAGTCATGACAAAAAGTCCGGTTGGCCAATGCATACAAGTGTTACGCCCGAACGTAGCGATGAGCATCCAGAAATATGGAGCATGTCATGTGACACAGTGAGTGAATATTGTTCAACCCCGCGGTCATTGATATTCCAGCAAAATGACGGGACCTGTGCACACCTGTGTCGCTGCACCATGACATACAATCAGAGCTTGACCACCTTGACAACTTTCCTGCTGAAGTCGAAACTTGGTAGCTGTACATTCACGGGGCACGTGGGAATCACTTCTGACTCGGAATCCACACAGAGGACATAAGAGCTGATGTATGCCGAACGTTAAAGAACTCTACAAGGAGACGAACGCATTTAACGAATTTATTTTCCATTCTGTAGAACCTGCAACAGTGCAGGATACATGCTAGAGTTTTTAAAGGCTTCCAGAATACTGTCACGGTAAGGATTTGGTACTGATGGCTCCACGTCCCCAGCCAAGAAAACGTCTTCTGCGGTGATTCCGACCTCATCTGCTACCGCCACGGCGTATGCCCGTATTCCTCGCCAGATAGTCGGGGTGTAGAAGGGGACAAGGTTCTCACTTGGCGAGAAACCAGACAGTCGCTTGCCTGTTCTTGGCATCAATTCCCATGTGTAGGAACGGGCGACCTTGGCCTTGTCGCGAGCAAAATCGGCTGTTATACCTGCTGCAGGGTCTGAAACAAGTAGCGTCATATGAGTGATAATCCTACGACTACAGATATTAGGTGTCCTGGCACTGTTGGTAGTATAGATTACATCTAGAATGTATAATGGAAACACTGACAGACAGAGGTCAGGTAAAATGGGGTTGAACGTCGCGGTCAAGGTAATTGCACTTACATAGCGACGTGCACGTGTGTGTGTGTGTGTGTGTGTGTGTGTGTGTGTGTGTGTGTGTGTGCGTGCGCGCGTGTGCGTGCGCGCTTGTACCACCCTACAATAATGCCCCTTAATACCGAACGCCAGGCAGGGTAACAACAAGTACCATCTTTTAACGTATTTTGGTTATGACGCATCCGCGGATGGAACCACCCACCTTCCGCTCTCCGGGCAGATGCTCTATCAACACGATGATGCAGACATTCATTTCAGACAAAACTTACATAGCATGGAGTATGTGGGGCCTATCCTGAACGGAACTCCCATCGCTTTCTCGGCAGTTTTTGCAAGCAAAGTCTGAAAGTAGAAAACACCCGCTCACTAGATACACATATACCTTCTTGAAAGAACATCACAAGAGAGAAGAAAAGCCAGCATGGAAGTTACAGGTTTCTCATTTAAAACGTTATTGTTTGCAACACAACCCATGTCATGACGGTTGTCGTGTTTGCACGTGGTCCTGTGCTATCAAAACAGGCGCAGTTAAGCAACGTCGGTCGCGAAGAGTTCTTGAATGGGTGATGGTGTTTGGCCGATGGTGTTCGGCAGCTTGACTCAAGAGAGTTTCTAGAGCTGTGGTCCTGCCATACACTGAATCACATGTAGCACAAGTTGTGTCTCGACTTCGTTCGAAATATGCCTCTGTTCACCCAGCAGTGAATGGGTATCCGGTAGGTTGAGATGGTTATGTGTCTGTTAACCTTCTAGCGCCTCACAGGCAGATTGGGTTGTATACTATCTAGAAACCTGAGAAAGGAAATCTAGTGCATCCTTTGAACGGCTTACTAATGGTGTTGGCGCTTTGAGCATGCGTCAACGGAAGCACTATAGCGCATTACAAATAAACATTTAATATTTTTGTTTTATGGATTGTTTATTGGTTTCTTCCAAAGCAATTCTGAAAGTTACATCGCTGCATTACTATTCTCCCGTCATTTAACTAACCAGTTCGTAGAAGACTTTGAAAGGCAATTATTATTAACAGTAAAACATGAACACACAGTGACTTCTTTTTAGTTCGTAACGACCTTTAAGGGTTACTTGCACCTTCAACAGGTGATTCACAAACAATAAAGAAGAAAGAAGTTGTTATGTAAAGAAAAGGTTTCACGTCTTCTAGTTCTTCTTATTTATAAATGTTTATCAGAGACAAACTTGGCAGTTTCACATTTCAACTTGTACATTTTCTGCTCACCAGATTGGCGTTGTCAGCGACCCTCTTATTCTGGTAGGCCCAGGGGAGGAGGATGTACTGGCCGTACGTGTGTATGGACAGGTAGCTGATGATACCCTGCTTGTTGCCCAGGATGTGCTGCTTCAGTGCATTCGCCTCGGGTGCCGAGTACGCGTATCGGCCCCTGTAGGTGTCCGAACAGGCATTCCCGCTAGCACCCCCTGCAGTGTGCAACACACGGTATTAGACACTGTACTTTCGGGCACTCAGCGCTATAGGAAGGTCAAGGTTTTACTGATTAGTACAAAGCAACTATCGTTCAGAGTATGTGGTAATCATTTTAACCTAAAAGGATGACATGATAATATTGCTTCACGTCAGAAAAACGGTGGTCGTTCCAAGCTGTTTGATAAAACACCAGTTGTTTGCAGAAAGTAAAAAAACCACGAAAAAAAAGAATTGATACACAACGATGTGTTCCACCATTGACTGACAAAATGTGATGTCAATACCCACTTCACAAAGCGCACTTAGAGCTATGGCTGTCATTAGTCCTACACTTCGTACTTTTTCCGAACCCTGTTCCGAAGTTTCTGTTGAGGTCTGTCCCCACACAGCGAGACCGAAGGTTCCTTTGGCGGTTCTTCCTCCAGTACCGATAACCCTTGACGCAAGGGGAAGCACGTTAAAATATATTTTAAATAATTCAGTTGCAGAAAACGTTTGGTCATCAATGAAGACGTTCATATCACATGTGCAAATATAAACTTCCATTTTTCTTAATGTGAGAATGAACGAAAACATTTATCTTGATTATAAAATGTTCGTACGAAATAACGCCAGGCCAGCCAGCTTAAGTAATATCTTGCAGAGAGAGCGGCCTCCTTTTGACAACGTCTCGGTTCGTGCCACACGTGTAGTGATCGTTAGGATTCACATCGTATATTAATTATGAAATAATTAGTTATACACCTCAGATAAGCTAATAACGACATTTCCATTGTATATCTCAATCTTAGGTCTATCTTGTCTGTGTTATTCAATGATAACTATGTAAGGTCACCTACCGAATGGGTGAATTCATATCCGTCAGGGTTGACAGGGGAGACAACTTCCCAGTCAAATAACTGAATCATGTCCGCGTTGCTCTTGTTACACGCGAGCTGAAAATAAACAAGAGGTCACAGAAGCGCGATACTACGAAAGACAATCCAGTGATTGACATCAAGAGGATCGATCCATGCAATTGGGACCATGCATCAACCAAGTCAGCGAGCCTGACCACCCGATTCCGTTAGTCGCCGCTTACCACACGCATTGGTTGCTAAAGACCTATACAAACCCGGATCTTTACATTGTCATTGCATTTGAAATCCAAATTAGCATCTTTAATGCTCATCATATTAATTTGAATTTTCAAGATAGTTCCTTTTCATTTCATCATATGACCTTGACATTGCAACACAGTATTTGAATTTCAAAGACAAACCAAATTGTATAGCCCTAATGTGCCCCTGTATGCTACAGCAGCAGTCAGTACTGTCACTGATACTCCAGCGTCCAGCGGATGTTCAAGAGAGTACGAGGAAATGTACGACTGAATGAGTTTGGTTTAGCGCCGCTTTCAACAGTATTCCAGTTCCATCACGGCGTGTCAGCGCAAAGTGACGGAAAGCAAACATGATCGCAATCTTTTGTACTTCTATAAAGAAACTCAATTTACATCGAATTTGAAAAAAAACTTTATTTTAGTCGGTATTGAAGGACGAAGCAAGCGCCAGCAGTCGTTTACCTGGTAGACGATGTAGTTGGCGGTGGCGGGGGACAGCCACTCCCGAGCATGCACTCCACTCTCGATGAAAATTGTTTTCCTGTTTCTTCCTGGGTTCTTTGGTGATATCTGTAACGGTTATGACATAGTTTCAGCTTGGATCTAAAGATATCAGTGTTTCATTTGTGTCTGATCCGTAACTCATTGCCGACGTTCCAGACGCTGAACCAGTCCGTGATGACGCCAGCCCCAATCACGTATGATTAGACGGGCTCCCAGTTTTCTACATTAAGAAGCTGATTTTGGAACTGTGTTACCGTTGTATTTCATGTATGTGGCTATCGATGATCAGTTACTGCATTTCTGAAAGTCCATGCCAAAGAAGATTTACATATTTCTTGAACTTTTCATAAGCCATCACAAAGAACATGCAAACAAGTCGTTTACACAAGTTGTTTTTTGAAATTACTCTTTGTGACTATGAGAGCACAACCCCGGCAGACATTGTGTAGGTCGAATTCTCACATCCATGGCATTGTATTGACTTGCTTGCATGACTTACTCTTGACTGGATTCTTACTTGCATGACTTACTAATGACTGCGCTATCACAATGACACTATACATACTACTGTATAGTCTGTAGACAGAACTCTCACGCCCACGAGGGGGCAAGGGTGGCCCAATTGTCTGAGGCTTGCCTTGGGCACACCAGAAACTGTGATTGTGGGTTTGAAAATTGAATCCCGGTTCGCCCCGGTAGTGTTTCTCGGCTTGTCAGCACCATACCCGTGCTCAAACATTTCACCAAAGGGGGTAAACGTCTGTGACCTGCATCACTTGTGGGCTTGATATAACAGTGGGTTTACTGTTAAAAGCAGCGTTAAATCCAACTCTCTCGCTCATGCACTTCCATGAATTACTAAAGTCTGGATTCTCGCCATGACTCCATATACACCACTGGACTCCCACAATCATGACTCGGTATATACTATTGGACTCTATATTCTATAGACTGGACTCTCACAATCATGACTCGGTATATACTATTGGACTCTATATTCTAAAGACTGGACTCTCACAATCATGACTCGGTATATACTATTGGACTCTATATTCTATAGACTGGACTCTCACAATCATGACTCGGTATATACTATTGGACTCTATATTCTAAAGACTGGACTCTCACAATCATGACTCGGTATATACTATTTGACTCTATATTCTATAGACTGAAGTCTCACCGTCATGACTCGGTATATACTATTGGACTCTATATTCTAAAGACTGGACTCTCACCGTCACGACTCGGTATATACTATTGGACTCTATATTCTACAGACAGGAGTCTCACCGTCATGACATTGATGGGCCTGTTCTCTGCGGAGTAGCCGATAGTTTTCTTCTTCACGTCTACAAAGTTGCTGCAAGAGGACTTGACCCGATCTTGAAACTCGTATATCTGCAAGCCATACCCGATCATCAATACAGACAGAGAAGCCCTGGAGTGTAAGATGCTGGTGAACACTACGATGACAAGCACATCGCCATGTCCCACACCTAAATGCACCCGTGAAGATCCGGGGTAGAACCCATGCTTGCAACCCATGCTTGCCGTAAGAGGCGACTAACGGGATCGGGAGGTCAGGCTCGCTGACTTGGTTGATGCATGTCATCGATCCCAATTGCGTGGATCGATGCTCATGATATTAATCACTTGATTGTCTGATCCAGACTCGATTATTTACAGACCGCCGTCATATAGCTGGAATATTGCTGAGTGCGGCGTTAAACAACCAACCACTCTTAAATGGTTTTAACGGTTACCTCGGAACTCAAAAGAACCCATTTCACATCTAACAGACATGGGCAATGCTGTCGTAATATCTGCATGTTTATACTTGTACATGTACAAAATTGTATATATATAATGTTATTGTATGTATATGGGCCTATGGACAGAATACAATAAATGGTGATGATGATGAGTAAGTCTATTAATGATAACTTCTTTTCATTTAGGAAAACTGATGACGTTGTCATTGGACCGATTCTACACCTTCATACCTCATCAAGCGTCAGATATTCTTTGATGGCATCCTCCAATTCCAGCGTTGCTCGTTTGCGTCTCCTCATGTCCAAGTGACGAAATTCCTCATCTACGGAACTGGTGAACAGTACAATCAACACTGCTATAAACTCATTGTGTGTGAAAACAACAGTCACGGTTTCAGTTAGGGGGGAAAAACTGAAATTAATTTTTTGAAACATGTTCATCACTCACTCTTGTAAATTGTCTTGTAATATCTCTACGTCTCCATTTTCTTCTGTAACAGTTTGAACAACTTCTGCCAGATCATCTGGTGATACTATGGCTAGCAAGGTATTGTCATGGGGATTCCTATGTAGGTCGTCAATCTGAAGAGAAAAAACAAACAACTTGTCATATATATTTTCCACCATTTCACTGCCAGTTCAAGTCAGTTATTGTCCTGAAGTAACGAACTGTTATCTTTCTGTTTTGTTTAAAAGACTGTGGTGCGCTGTACACATATTCTTTCCTGAAACGCACTTCGCGTATGCTGTCCCAAAACACTGTGTTGAAGTAAACACGTTCCGCGTTCTTGAACATTGTCAGTGTTACACCTAACACGTGTATGGCATTTCAAGGCACATTATCTTACGGTCTACACGTATCGAGCCATGACTCACATTCAGTCCTACGCTCTACGCTTATTTTATCTTGATACACTGTCTTACGCTCTACACGTAACACGCCCTGACAAACTTTCAGTCCTACGCTCTACACGTATCTTATCTTGATACATTGTCTTACGCTCTACACGTATCACGCCCTGGCTCATTTTCAGTCCTACGTTGTGAAAACACTGCCTTACGCTCTACACATATCACGCCCTGACACACTTTCAGCCCTACGCTCTACACCTACCTTATCTTGATACACTGTTTTACGCTCTACACGTATCACATACTGACACACGTTCAGTCCTACGCCCTACACCTATCTTATCTTGATACATTGTCTTACGCTCTACGCATATCACGCCCTGACACACTTTCAGCCCTACGCTCTACACCTATCTTATCTTGATACACTGTTTTACGCTCTACATGTATCACATACTGACACACTATCAGCCCTACGCTCTACACCTATCTTATCTTGATACACTGTCTTATGCTTTATAAGTATAGTGTCTTGAAATATTCTTTGACGTCCTGCACGTTCCGTGCCTGACTCATTGTCATCCTTACGCCCTACGCGTATCTTGTATTTAGACAGATGCCTACGCATAGATTATCGCACACTGTAAACGTATATTTCCCTGAACCACGGTCATACCTCCAGGCTGTCGTCGATCCAGTTCAGTCAAAGCCCAGCAAGGGACACCTACCTGTGGAAGCTGGTGTAAAATCCTATCCAAACGCTCCGACGATCCGGCAGCAATTCTCACAAGTTTGAAACTGGGGATGAAATCAGTTCTTATTCCTCGCACAAATATGGACAGAAAAGGCATAACAGAAATCTTTCAAGTTTGTTGACATATATATATTATAATAAACAACGTAATGCATTGTAACACATTTCTAATATTCTGCTTAATAGTGTTAAGAAAGCAGTTCAACAACTTATATCTTGCAGTTGGACTGTAGCTAAAACCAGAGTCCAGAGACCAGAGACCAGAGACCATATATCAGTAAATTCTCGAAATGACTAATAGGCTCTGTCGTTTCATGAAAATACTGAAATACATTACCAGGCCATTCACGAAACGAGATAGCAGTTTCCATAGGATTAATTAAGAAAGAAAAGAAACCCTAGAAAGTCTCATTCACATGTTTACATCCACAAGTTACAGCCAGACACGTGTCGCGAAATGACTGACTGTAACATAGAACCTTGAAAAAGCTATGTACCACGCCTTCTTTACTGAAGAATTCACTTCAGTGTTTTTATGGAGTTATGAACGTCAATGTGCAAACTATCTAGATCCGCGTGGTAATAATAACTTGACTGACTACGTGTTAAATCATTAACACTCAACAAACTGTAGACAAGAGTACGAAATCTGGACCCGCCCATTTTATAACCAGCAACCTGGAATCATTAATGTGTTAGTTAGCATCGCCTTATCTGGTATACGATTTATGTAAACATAAAGGCAAAAACGTTTTTTGTTGGTTTGCCAATCAAATCCCACGGAATCATTTGCAAATTATACATTTGTATGTGTCCCGAACTATCATGTAGGTTTTGAACTGATATTTGACATTGATCTCATTCCATACATTTCTAGTGTATTAGTGAGTGAGTTGGGTTTAACACCGCTTTTAACAGTATTCCAGTTATATCACGGCGTGTCAGCTTAATGTGGGAGGAAACCCCGAAGTGATGCAGGTCTCAGATGTTTACCACTCTGGTGAAAACTACGAGCACGGGTATGGTGCTGACAAACCCAGAAACATAATCGGGGCGAACCGGGGTTCGAACCAACAATCATAGGTTTCTGGCGTGTCAGAGGGAAGCAAGTCTGCACAGCGACGCCTTAGACGACTGGGCCACACGTACCCCCTCTTAGGTACTACCAATATCTGGATAACCTTGTGTAAAGGAACACTATGTTAATGTTGATGGACATATGAAATCATGCACACATCATATGACGCAAAAAAGAAATTGAAATGGTAGTCTGATTATCATTGACACGAAACAATTGCAAGCATTATCAGATAATCGATTTGTGGCGTTGTATTTCATGTGTATATATAGTATATCACTTGGCGGACAAAAACAGATGTGTTTCTTTGAAAATAAAAAGAAATATGAAAATATATAGTAAGCGGTGTCTCAGTTATTTTCGGGTTTATCGTTTAAAATAATATTGTTCTTGTTTGGGAATTTTAATAGTCATGACTTGACTGTCCCGTATAAAGTGCCTGTGTATTACACAATGTGTGTGCAAGCGGCCAAGCTGGCTACCACCTGTACTGGTCACACGGGACTTTCTCTCGCCAGCAAGAACTGGGATGAATTGCCAAGAAATCTGTCAATTAAACTAATTATGATGATACGCATTTAATTTAAACTGGCTAGAATCCCAACGCTGGATAACAGATGGATATATTCAACTCAACAGGTATCCTGAAATGAAATGTTATTGGTGAAAAGATAAGACACCAAGACACCACGGTACTATTGCTGGATGTAGGTTGTGTGTCTGTCTGTCTGTCTCTCTCTATTGGCCAGGTGTTCGGGGACTCACTTGTAGTAGGGCTTCTCTCTCACACACAGCACGCAGGCTGAAGCGAGCCATAGGAAATACACGACCGACGCCCTCATGTCCATACTTCGCACCAACCTTGAGCTAAATTCCATGTTTTCATGGAGTAAATTACAAAAGTTCTTTTCAGTTTTTATTTTATTTCTTTAAATATTTTCTTGTTGATGAAACCATGACACCATAACGTTTTCTTTAAAACATAATAACAAAGTAGTCTGAAATATATTATCAACATCTTAAGGAATGTTACAATGAAATTATCCCACAACAAAATCTCTTGATAAAAGTCACATCATGACACACATTAGACTAACATATAGTCCATGAAATCTTTTATTACACAATACGTTTCTCTCCTCTAATCTTAAAACACATAATTTTCCTGATGCTGATTTATAGAATAGTTCTGGCTAGAGTTGGCTAGACTTGCTATTGTATATATAATCTAGATAGGTTTTGTTTTATTAAAATAAGTATATTCCATTGTCATGGTGCACATATGACAGAACACTTGACACATACATCTTATCTTAATATTATTTATTGATGAAGTTCTTACATTATAAGGTATTTCTTAATGAAATTTTGACATCGTTAAATATTTTATCAATAAATAATTGTTTCTATATAAATTACATCACAAAGTAGGTTTTATAAATTATATTCACACAACAAATCAATTCAAATGAAATAACACCATAAAGTATGTTACATTGACATTATTACATCATAATATTGTTTAATGAAAGTTTGACATCAAGGAACGCCTATGTCGTTGATCACGTTAATAGTTAACATAAAATATTTTGCAAGCATCTGTTCAGATAAAGCGGATATATTTACCGTCAAGTTGAGTGGTTTCAGCATACAGCCCCGATCTCAGAACGTACTGCTTTTATAGGTTGATGTGGGTGCGTGTATTTACATCACGTCAAATGCTGCAAGAGTATTCAGCATCAGCACGTGAAATATATGAAGCACCTGTTACTATTGATACTAAAACACTGCTTGTTTGTAAACTGTCCTTTGTAAACAGACCACCTAAGCAAATAATACTCATCTCTAAAACACGACCATCCCTCGTTACGTATGTATTGTATATACATATATATTACTATTTTGACTTGCGACAAGCCCGAGATTGTTCACTAACTGATCTTACATTTGAATATAGGTCACTGTTTGATTCAAAGACCTCTTGACTAATTTTGACTTCTTCAAATAAAATTCCTCGTTGTCTTTTCGTGTGACCGCAAGGACTGTTGGACCCCGCGATGTTTAAACAATGGAGGTGAAAGTGACTTTTATCCGTATAGCAGTCAACAAACGACCTTGTTTGCGTTTGCCTGCCAATTTATGTAGAATTTTAAGTTAACAGTTGGTCAGAGATGGAGAACTTGAAAATAACCATTAGATATGATTTCCTTATTCAATCTCGTATTGTCCTGCCTACATGATACATAATACAATGTTCAGTCTGCTGTGTATGCCGACTACTTAAGTAACGTTTACAATAAATTTAAATGAGCGGGAGGTATCTGTTATGTATAGTTTCCTATTTGGTTGTGAGGACAGCCTGTTTCGTTGAGGTTTCAGCAGGTCTAATAGAAACCGATGATAAACAGATGCCTTAAACCGATGATATAGTGGAGTAAAGTTTGTACCACACCTCAGTCCGTGAAGCCAAGACCGCTTTGGTTGAAAATACACCTACCAAACAAATGTGATTACATATCATACCAAGACACCATATCCTGGAACTACTACTACTACTACTACTACTACTACTACTACTACTACTACTACTACTCCCGAGGCAAGTGAGTTAACGGACTATAAAAGCCCAGTTTCCACCCTTGGAACTAGGCTGTAATATCCAGGCTCGTTGGTAGCGCCACAAGTGACTATAGCGAGTTATGTCCCTCCTATTGACCATTCAGAATCCACCTCTCATATCACTTGCATTTGCTTCAAACAAAATGGCGGCGCCCAGTCAAGACGATCGGATCGGCAATCAAGATCTATATTGTAATAAATAGGTCTTACCCCGCGAAGTGCATCAAATCACTTGAGCACCTTGATTAAAAAAATGAAAATATTTGCAAAATATCTATCGACGCCCAGTTGACGGTACACATGCTTTGCAAATCCTGCAATCGACCGAAATCTTTTCGTTGAAATCCATGTTGTTTACGAACCGGATGTCTAGTTCGTTACGCGATTTTGATTGGACTATGCATAGACTCGTTAGTCCAGCCAAGATGTAACTCCGGAATTTCAGCCTTGTTCGGCAAGGGTTAGTCTGTCTTACAGACCCTGATATAAATATATATCAAATACAGCCCATGCAAGTCTATAATGTTTGGCAAGTCTAGATCACTGCAGTATCAGGAAATGAAGAGAGTCACTGGGCTCCTTTTTATTATATTTTTATTAAGATAACTGAACAACTGTTTTTTTTATGTACGATATGTTCATTTCAGAGACTAGATTTTAGTCTAGGCAAGGGTGGAAAGTGGACTTTTATAATCAGTAAACGTCCTTGCCTCGGGAAGACGACTACTACTATACTCCCATCCTCTATGATAAATACTACTCCAACCACAACCACAGCTACATCTACTAGAAAACGATAGAGAATTCCCAAATTAACATAAGAAATCACTCGAACAATCAAACTGCCACACCCAAACTGACAAACTGATACTTTATCCTGGAAGCCAGAAGACTTTTGCAAGGCCATCAGATCTGTCCAGATGTCGGGGAAAGATGTTGTGCTCCCTGAACCGGTTGCATACAGTTCTGCTCCTTATTGGTCTCAACCCAGGAATTGTCCGAGTTCTTAATGAGGCAGTTTGGTATCGATTACGTAGATGCACCAAAGAATATGGTTGTCTTGTGGACGACAGGCCCGTAACAAGTCACGAATGTTGCCCTGCTGTAGATAACGTCTCCAAAGAGATGACCTTGTGTTTCGATGAACTTTAAAATGTCCGGCAACTTCGTTTCAGTTCGTCGTTCCTGTTTGCAGCATACCCACAGCGCTTAGGGGTTGATTTTCAGGAAGCTGTGGCTTTGCGGTTAAACAGAAGTGTTTTTATAAGCAACACTTGTGGTACCTTAGAGAACTAGATAATCACCCAAAGTACAATTATAGCACCCAAATCAGGTTTAAATATATTTTACATGCCGCTGTCCTTGATATTCTATCTGATCATATCTTCAATCTGAACAGTTTTAATCTGATATCGAAGCATTCTCAAACTCTAGATTCTAAAAACTGATCAAAGATGAAATTAAAACAAATCTACCAGGTATTTTACCCCCAAAATACCACATGCCAATATTACGTTTTAGATTGTCTTGTCACATGCTACCATTTGAAAAAGGTCGAAGGACAAAAATTAGTTGAAAGGACATGTCTGTTCTGTGCATGCAGTGCTGATATGAGTATCATCAAATCTTAATTCGTGAAGCGAATTATTATTCAAGGAATCCGTCCATGTTTAAACTGGTGAAGTTATGTGAATACAATGATAAACTTTCCATAAAGAAATTATCCAGTTTTTATAAATGTATTATAAATGTTTTTAAGTGATTGTTGTGCATGTATGCACATGTATGTATGTGTATATACTGATCTCTGTTAACTCTCAATATACGGTGTCTTGTAGCCTTGGGTGAAATAAGGGGGCACGGGTGGCCCAGTCGTCTAAGGCACCGCGAGTCGCTGTGCAGAGTTGTGTCCCTTGGGTACGCCAGACACCTATGATTGTGAGTTCGAATCCCGGTTCGCCCCGATTATGTTTCTAGGTTTGTCAGCACCATACCCGTGCTCGTTGGTTTCATCGAAGTGGTAAACGTCTGAGACCTGCATCACTTCGAGCTTTCCTCACACATTAAGCTGACACGCCGCGATATAACTGGAATACTGTTAAAAGCGGCATTAAACCCAACTCACTCATTCACTCACGCATTGAATGAAATAAAGTTCAGTTCATTTCCGTCACGAGAAGTTGGGGTACTGCATTCTAAAGGTGCTCCATGATGCGCCGTAAAATCCTCCTCTGTTGTCTGATACAGCTGTACATTCACCAAGGTGACAGAACAGTGACATATATGAAATATCCAACATGTCCAATTGCCTACAACATAAGTATCAACATGTGATCATTTCACAACGACGTCGAGCATGAAAGTTATAAAAGTTAACAGCTAAAGTGTTGTTATTTGAAAGCCACGCGTACAGTCCCAGATGTGTACAAACACACAGAAAAACGTGCGTTTTTATTTCCCTCCAGTAATGGACCAGAAACCCGCGCTGCCTGTTATGCATGAAGATATCTGCCAACAGTGTGTGATCGCTAGGTCGCCCAACACGCGGACGTTAACGTGTTCAAGATGGCGAGCGCTACGGCTTGTGGTGCAACTGGGTCTTTGCGTTAAAGCATCACGCACAGTTCCAGTGCTATGAACTGTAGTGATTGAGTTGGGTTTGACGCTGCTTTTAACAATATTCCTAAACTATCACGGCCTTCCAATTCACTGGATCGTGTAAATATATTTGCAACCACATGAACCCTACCATGTTTGCAATGTTGTAAATGTGTGCATTTTTTGTTTTTCAAAGATAACATTTCTAAGATACCCACCAGCAGTTGTGCATTATACAATTTAAATAAAAACAAATAAAGTTATATCTTAAAAAACACACACTAAAAACATTTAAATTTTGCTGACTATGCGCCAGTACAGTATATGTTTTAACATAATATCGCTATCTTAAGATATTTTCAATTCAAAATCAAACATGTGACAAAATCAACTGAGAGGTATAGTCTCTTTTGCCCCTCAGTATATTTTGTGACTGCTAGCTGACTCTCAGCATGTGACGTATGTATGTATGTATGTATGTATGTATGTATGTATGTATGTATGTATGTATGTATGTATGTATGTATGTATGTATGTATGAATGTATGTATGAATGGATGGATGGGTGTATGGATGGATGGATGGATGGATGGATGGATGGGTGGGTGGATGGATGGATGGGTTGATGGATGGGTGGATGGATGGGTGTATTTACATCATGTATGATGTATGTATGTGATGTACAAGACGGCGACTGATCAGGCAGCTCGATTCTTTACGAGTAACGATAAAGTGATATCAAGGTGTACTTAATATAACAACCATTGCAACAAATAAACACACGAGAGAAATATGTACCTGTACTTCAGATATTGAGATAATGAATGAATTTAGTATTTTCCAAACTCGTTGCCTGTTTCATCATCCCACAAACACCTAGTTACTCATCATTACATCAGGAAAGTGACTGCATGCTCATAAAACTCAACTCGTCAATCACAGCGCCTGAATCAGTCTCTGTTTAATATCGCGTGAAGTACAGAAAACATGAAAAAACATTTACATTCGTAAATTGGAAAAAGCGAGCAAATATCGTTCAACGAGGACTGGTCTGTCTTCCAGACCCTAGAGAATACATTAAGAAAGGATTCCGACTCAGGTCTAGAATGATTTGGCAAGACTACATTTGAAATTAAGTATTGTTCTGGGCGCCATTTATATTTGATTATATTTTGTAGATATGTATTTTCAAATCACACAAGTACATTTCTGGGACTTAATGTTAGACTAAGTGAGGACGTCCACAGGTCGACGCGTTGAAAACCCTGCGCCTGTTTCCCAGGACCGATAAGGGCAGGCAATGGTTCAGCTACAATTCCAAAAGCCTGGTCTAATGAGTCTAATGCTCATTAATTGACCATCATTCCGGTAATTATTCAATAAAGACTAGATATGTGGCTATCTTTGCCCAGCATTCTACCGCTATCAGTGGCAGGCGGCTGTCCATGCCTGTTTTACGGAGATGCACTGGTGTTCATTTCAGTTGCCATACGGCGGAGCAGGGCATCTCCACACGCCTCCAGCAGGTAGGGGTAGCGTATCGAGGACAGCTGGGCGCACAACCGCGCTATACACTGCTTTCATCTTACGCAATGAAAGCATCTTGTTGAACCTTCCCTGAATCTGACGGTTCTCGTTTACGATAACAAGTAGTGTAATAAATCATCAGTTAAAATAAATATTCCTTTAGATTATTTTGTGGTTTACATAAAACTATTACTTTGCTTTGCTTCTGAAAGAAAGTTGTTGTACGACGCTGTTGTGACCCCTGGCTCGGCCCTTGAAACACAGAATTCCCAGGTTTCTGACATGTGTTCTCGTAAGGGAACAATTGTTTGATCCCCAGTGTGAGTGATAGGGGTAGTATTTGTTTAAAAATGCTTGAACATACTCAATAAAACTAATTTTTCCTCAGGTTTTATGAATAAGACAAACTAATACTTGTTCACTGTACATGGAGGAAATAGCTTCCATTCCTTCTTCAGAATGTCTTAAAACAGCGGATCAAAATATTCTGTCTCTAACCGAAATCCCCCACCCCTATGATGGTAGGGTATTAACGTTTGTTGCCAAACAATACTCTTGTAGTTTCTGATCAGTTTATGCCGTTTATCATTGTGTCTGATGGAATAAGTGACAGTCAAGTATATTTCCAAAGACTCGTACACAATACACTAACGACGTGAAGATCCGGGGTAGAATAGGTCTTCAGCAACCCATGCTTGCCGTAAAAGGCGACTATGCTTGCCGTAAAAGGCTACTAACGGGATCGCGTGTTCAGGCTCGCTGACTTGGTTGAAGCATGTCATCGATCCCAATAGCGTGGATTAATGCTCATGATATCAATCACTTGATGGTCTGGCCCCGACTCGATTATTTACAGACCGCCGTCAAATAACTGGAATATTGTAATATGTAAAAGATCAAACCAACCAACAAACCAACCGGCTAATATGTTCCCTGTGTAGAGTTCCAGTCGGTCAGAAGTGTATAGAACCTAGCTTCTCTATACAGGGGTACAGATACTGACAGTAGTCTGGAGGCTGGCGCGGGAGCCTGTCGTGATACACCACCGACAGCTAAAGGTTACAGTGTATCCAAATAATGTTATCGAGGTCCTTTGTCTATCAACACGGGAGGAGCTCAGTGAATTAAGGAGAAATGATTCTGAACAAATTGAGATCTTTGCGAAACCAGAGTCCATATATCCTTTTATATGGTCTCTGGCGAAACTAATGTCATTTATCAATAATATATATGATCCCTTATGTGTGGCTTGAAGAGGTTCGTTTGAGCTGAAGCTCTCTCCTATCAGGGGATTAAATCTATTTCATGGTTTCTTTTATTTATATACTAAGAATGAGAGTTGAATTTCATAAACTGTGCATGTATTAATTACGACGTGCGCTTTTAGCAATATTCCATCAATATCACGGCGGGGGACACCTGAAATGTGGGAAATCGAACCCAGGTCTTCGGCGTGACGAGCAAACGCTTTAATCTTTAGGCTACCCCACCGTCCCGGCCACGACAGGTTGAAATAGCAAATATATATAACACCATGTTTAGTGCACAACATGTTCGACATGCGAAATGTCGACTCTACTAGGTTCCCATCACGGGGAAATTATTTAGTGCAATATATTCATTATTATAACGTATAAAGTCATAAATGGTTTTATTTTATGTATATAGTCTTACTGTTTGCATCCAGTCCTAAGAAGGCGTATATGTACAATGCAAGTATTTAGTGCAATATATTCATTATTATAACGTATAAAATCATAAATTGTTTTATTTTATGTATATAGTCTTACTGTTTGCATCCAGTCCTAAGAAGGCGTATATGTACAATGCAAGTATTTAGTGCAATATATTCATTATTATAACGTATAAAATCATAAATGATATCTTACCATGAAGTCAACCAATAATTGTACAACCTGGTAACGTCTTATTAACGTCTACTTGAATTCAACAAGGCGATGTTCATATAACCAAATTATTGGGTACTTTCAGTTCATCGTGGTGTACTTTCTCAGCAGGTGGTTGACGATAGGCCTCAGGACACCGACTCCCACAGTTAGATTAACATGTGTCAAAACATCTGGGTAATGTACATCGACTTGGGGAGGATTGCGTGTCTTAAACGAAACACATGGCGATAAAGAAATTCATTTTCAAACTGTTTAAACTAACCCCCCGATTGTTTTGAATGCTTCTGGCCGCGACTATGTTTATGACCCGAGGGCACTGTAAATTATCAAATCGTTGACATAAAAAGCTGTTTGTTTCAGAGAACTGAGAGATGAAAAACAGGCGTCTACCGCGTCCAATCTGGACCGTGGAATGAGATGCTGCACTCTAAAGGAGGCTGAGATAAACCGAGACAGGTTTGCTGATACGGGATACTTCTCTCATCAACATCCGCAGTTCAATCTGTGAACCCGGAGATACAAGTGTTGATATCTGCGACCATATCTCTATACACAACTTGTAGTGCCGCGCTGACAAGTTACCATGGCAACCAGTGATGCCAGGGCGTATCAGCGCCTGGTCGCTTGTTTAAAAACGCTGAAGGGCTCGCGGGCAGAGGTGGAGAGGTTTTGCCCAACCAGTTTCGATGGAGTGCTGTGCTGGCCCCCCACCCTCCCTGGGATGACTGTGAGGCAACGCTGTCCTAAATTGTGGGGCTTTATTTCAAGGCGGTACGCTTACCGGACGTGTGGCCCGACTTCCACGTGGGTCGGCTTTACCAAAAGTTCAACTATTGAGACGGAAAGTAAGATCCTGAAGCGAGTTGAAAGCGACGGAGACGGACTGACGGATTACACAGGTTGTATAAACTATACAATGGAGATGGCTGGCTTGCCGCCTAGATACACAGGTGTTTCAGAGATGGCTGGAGTCACAGCGATGGAGATTCTTGGATATACTCTTAAATCGTTGTCAATCTTAACATTGTTTGTGGCGGTGTGTTTATATGGGTGCTGTGTACGAGCCAAAACGCAGAGGTACAAGATATTCATTCCAATGTTCTTGTCCTCAATGATGAAATATGTTGTCAGTCTGGTTGACATTATCGTCTGGCGATTTGAAACTGACTTCCAGCAGACGACAGTTTGGAGACACCCCGTTGTCTGTAAATGTGCGAACTCGGTAACACGATTCTCGGAGCTATCCGTTTATTCTTGGATCGCAGTGCTTGGTGTCTATTATCTGTTTGCAGTGCTGGGCGATATAATCAAAGGCAGAAGGGTCATGGTGTTGTACCTAGTTGGCCTCGGAATTCCTGTCGTCTTCGCGACGGCGTGGGCTCTAACCGTGACGTTCGTCCTTTCAACTGACGTCTGCGAAGGCGGTCAAATTCCACATGCAACCCACTGGATAACGGATGCGCCTAAACTGGCATGCGTTTTGATAGCCTTCTGTATTTTCATCGTTTGCGTGTATGCAGCATTTCGGGGGCTGATTGATGACGACGTGCTCGAATTTAGACTTGTTAAGCAGGGAACCATCAAATGTCTCCTGTTTTTGACACTGTGTACATCGGCGGATCTCTACCTGTTGGTGATCGTGTACAACAATGGCGGTCAGACGATTCGTGTGTCGTCTGCCGACTCGTGGATTGATTACTTCACTCTTGTTGTGGACAGTATTCCTGGAGTGATAATGGCGATATTGCTCTGTTTTGTTGATAACGAAGTTCGTGTGTGCGAAAATGAGCCTCGCAAAGTGAACGTTGTGGTGGTTGAGCGAGGTCGCGAACATAATCGTTGAGTACAGACACTGTACCTGGGCGCGTAAAATACAGGAAAGCATGGCTCACGACCAACTCTGCAACAATACCACAACATTTTCATTCTTTGCAACGTCATTCATCAAGATGTAGAACTTGAACGCCATGTTCAAACAGGAACACCCCCCAGAAGCGGATCCGGACCTGGATGTAAACTGCCTAACTCGACACCAGTGCTTCTGGAGAGTTCGCATCCTTCATGGTGGGGTAGCCTTTAAGATAGAACATTCGCTGGCAGCGCTGAAAACCCGAGTTCGAATCCCCACATGGTTACAAAGTGTGAGAGTTCTCCGCCGTAAAATGTCTGGAGCTACGCTTAACGCATCCTCAAACCCAACCATCTCGCTCATTCAGTTCCAAAGATAGAAACTTATATTTTACAATCCGTGAGGCGTGAGAAGAATTGATGAGGGGAAGCGTTTGTATCTGATAGGATGCGTGTTGTGGCGCGTCCATGTTGATAGCGACAGAGTGATGAGGTGACCACGGTATAATTGAACTGTGACTTACAAGGCCCTTGATAAGCCACGACCACACACACACACACACAGACACACGGGACGACGTGAAGCCTGGATCAGTCAACTTTGTGGTAAAAACACCACTTCTGGAACAATAAATGTGTCAAATCTTTTTTTGATATGTTTGGTTTCGTGAAAACGACTCCTCCGGAACAATATTCATATAATTTTTCTTTTGATATTTTTCATTTCGTATATTTCTTTTTTATAAATTCTACCTTGATCGAATATTTGATTTTTACGGAATACGTTCTTGCGTAGCTAGTATGTCAGGCATTAGTGTTGAGATTAGAGAATCGGTTCTTCTGTGAACCCGAGGCGAGGGCACGGGACCAAATGTGCATTATACGGACACCTTGTAGAACTAGCGGCACGTATTACCTTAACTGTTTCTACTTCCTGCATATGTATATTGGATTTCTGATGTAAAACATGGGGAAGGTTAATATACAGAATGTGTTTTTCTTCAATTAAATGCTCAATGCAAAATCTGATTATCGTTACATGTTGTAAATCAAGATTCACTAAAGATGGTTCTATGTGTCATGAGGAGGATGTTGGTTGAGTCAACACGCTTTGTTCCAAGAGTCGGGCCTGGCCTACACAGACCATTCCTGAAAACACCGGGAATAATTTTTGCACCATTGTGTGCTGTAGGCTTTCCACCTCATCAAGGGTGGAGCGATGAGATTAGCTTAAAGAGTTCAATAGGAACGCCGCAAACTTCGATTGCCCACATTGATATAATGTGAAGCCAGCCGTGGTTTTGTTTGAAATTGGAGTAAAACCCTACTCACTCACTCACTCCCTCACGGCTCAGCGTACGTATGCTCATTCATGCGAATCGTTTAAAGGGGTAGTAGGGTAGCTGAGTGGTTGCAACGTTCCTTCGTCACGCCTAAGGCTCGGGTTCAATTCAACGAAAGGTACAATTGACATGCATAAAGCCCATGTCTGGTGTCCCCTGCTGACATTTTCGTGAAATATTGCTCACGTAAATACCCAACCCCACTCACTGGGAAGAGAATATCAATGGACCAAAGCTGTTTATCTTCATGAGGAGACGGAGCCCAGACGGGTTATATAATTTGACTGGTTCCTGTAACTGCTGATCTTTGCCCAATGATTTCCTGTACAGCAATACCACTTTCTCGTCCGATGTCGTGGAAAAGGTGTCATGCACTGAGATGTACTTCTGTCGCACTCTGCATTCGTTATCAAAAAGTAAAGAAACACTATTAGTGTTGTTATTCTGAACATAATAATTGTTTCATTTTTGGTGACAAAATAATGACTGCTCCTTACTCTCTGTCAACTCTCGTAACTTACATGAATACAGGGACCAGTCATTGATAGAAATGGCGTCTAATGAATATTTATACACGTAGTCAGAAGGTTATATAGTGGGCATGATTAAACTGTTCGTGTTGTGAGGTCAGAGAGATGGATGATTGTGGACACACGACCGCAGTGCTGTCGCCACTATAGTAATATGTAATAGCGATGGCTGCACCAGGCGTTGTAGCGGTAGAGCCGGTTGTTGTTATACGCCGCACTCAGCAATATTCCAGCAATATTCCAGCAATATTCACGGCTATTTGTTAATACTCGACTAACGGCCAGGTAAACAGATGTTATTGAAAAAATGAGCCACGAACCGCGCCGTGGGCGTGTAGTGACAGGTAATCCGTTATATATCTACAGATGTAAGTACTGTCATTGTGACTGTGGCAACTGACATGAACATTGTATGTAAACAGTTGCACGATGGCACTGATGACAGTGACCCAGATTATGCATCCTATATATGGATATGACATGGGTTGTATTATGATACTTGGAACACTCTAACGAACATAAATCTACGCACAATACACAACACAATACACAGGAGATATTGCCGTATTCTGATACGTGAACAATACACATGAGATATTGCCGTTTCTGTTACGTGAACAATACACAGGAGATATTGCCGTATTCTGATACGTGAACAATACACAGGAGATATTGCCGTATTCTGTTACGTGAACAATACACAGGAGATATTGCCGTATGAACAATACACATGAGATATTGCCGTATTCTGTAACGAGAACAATACACAGGAGATATTGCCGTATTCTGATACGTGAACAATACACAGGAGATATTGCCGTTTCTGTTACGTGAACAATACACATGAGATATTGCCGTATTCTGTTACGTGAACAATACACAGGAGATATTGCCGTATTCTGTTACGTGAACAATACACAGGAGATATTGCCGTATGAACAATACACATGAGATATTGCCGTATTCTGTAACGAGAACAATACACAGGAGATATTGCCGTATTCTGATACGTGAACAATACACATGAGATATTGCCGTTTCTGTTACGTGAACAATACACAGGAGATATTGCCGTATTCTGTTACGTGAACAATACACAGGAGATATTGCCGTATTCTGTTACGTGAACAATACACAGGAGATATTGCCGTATGAACAATACACATGAGATATTGCCGTATTCTGTAACGAGAACAATACACATGAGATATTGCCGTATTCTGATACGTGAACAATACACATGAGATATTGCCGTATTCTGTTACGTGAACAATACACAGGAGATGTTGCCGTATTCTGTTACGTGGACAATACACATGATATATTGCCGTATTCTGTTACGTGAACAATACACATGAGATGTTGCCGTATTCTGTTACGTGGACAATACACATGATATATTGCCGTATTCTGTTACGTGAACAATACACAGGAGATATTGCCGTATTCTGTTACGTAAACAATACACAGGAGATATTGCCGTATTCTGTTACGTGAACAATACACAGGAGATATTGCCGTATTCTGTTACGTGGACAATACACTGGATATATTGCCGTATTCTGTTACGTGAACAACACACAAGAGGTATTGCCGTATGAACAATACACAGGGGATATTGCCGGTTTCTATTACGTAAACAATACACATGAGATATTGCCGTTTCTGTTACGTGAACAATACACATGAGATATTGCCGTATTCTGTTACGTGAACAATACACAGGAGATGTTGCCGTATTCTGTTACGTGGACAATACACATGATATATTGCCGTATTCTGTTACGTGAACAATACACAGGAGATGTTGCCGTATTCTGTTACGTGGACAATACACATGATATATTGCCGTATTCTGTTACGTGAACAATACACAGGAGATATTGCCGTATTCTGTTACGTAAACAATACACAGGAGATATTGCCGTATTCTGTTACGTGAACAATACACATGATATATTGCCGTATTCTGTTACGTGGACAATACACTGGATATTTTGCCGTATTCTGTTACGTGAACAACACACAAGAGGTATTGCCGTATGAACAATACACAGGGGATATTGCCGGTTTCTATTACGTAAACAATACACATGAGATATTGCCGTTTCTGTTACGTGAACAATACACATGAGATATTGCCGTATTCTGTTACGTGGACAATACACATGATATATTGCCGTATTCTGTCACGTGGACAATACACAGGAGATATTGCCGTATTCTGTTACGTGGACAATACACAGGAGATATTGCCGTATTCTGTTACGTGAACAATACACATGAGATATTGCCGTATTCTGTTACGTGGACAATACACAGGAGATATTGCCGTATTCTGTTACGTGAACAATACACATGGGATGTTGCCGTATTCTGTTACGTGGACAATACACATGAAATATTGCCGTATTCTGTTACGTGGACAATACACAGGAGATGTTGCCGTATTCTGTTACGTGAACAATACACATGGGATGTTGCCGTATTCTGTAACGAGAAGAATACACAGGAGATATTGCCGTATTCTGTTACGTGAACAATACACATGGGATGTTGCCGTATTCTGTTACGTGGACAATACACATGAAATATTGCCGTATTCTGTTACGTGGACAATACACTGGAGATATTGCCGTATTCTGTTACGTAAACAATACACAGGAGATATTGCCGTATTCTGTTACGTGAACAATACACAGGAGATATTGCCGTATTCTGTTACGTGACCAATACACAGGAGATATTGCCGTATTCTGTTACGTGGACAATACACAGGAGATATTGCCGTATTCTGTTACGTGGACAATACACTGGATATATTGCCGTATTCTGTTACGTGAACAATACACAGTAGATATTGCCGTATTCTGTTACGTGAACAATACACATGATATATTGAAGTATTCTGTTACATGGACAATACACAGGAGGCATTGCCGTATTCTGTTACGTGAACAATACACATGAGATATTGCCGTATTCTGTTACGTGGACAATACACAGGAGATATTTCCGTATTCTGTTACGTGAACAATACACAGGAGATATTGCCGTTTCTGTTACGTGAACAATACACAGGAGATATCGCGTATGAACAATACACAGGAGATATTGCCGTATTCTGTTACGCGAACAATACACCACAAGAGATTTTGCCGTATGAATACTACACAGGAGATATTGTCGTATTCTGTTACGTGAACAATACATATGAGATATTGCCGTATTCTGTTACGTGAACAATACACCACAAGTGATTTTGCCGTGTGAACACTACACAGGAGATATTGCCGTATTCTGTTACGTGGACAATACACTGGAGATATTGCCGTATTCTGTTACGTGAACAATACACAGTAGATATTGCCGTATTCTGTTACGTGAACAATACACATGATATATTGAAGTATTCTGTTACATGGACAATACACAGGAGGCATTGCCGTATTCTGTTACGTGAACAATACACATGAGATATTGCCGTATTCTGTTACGTGGACAATACACAGGAGATATTTCCGTATTCTGTTACGTGAACAATACACAGGAGATATTGCCGTTTCTGTTACGTGAACAATACACAGGAGATATCGCGTATGAACAATACACAGGAGATATTGCCGTATTCTGTTACGCGAACAATACACCACAAGAGATTTTGCCGTATGAATACTACACAGGAGATATTGTCGTATTCTGTTACGTGAACAATACATATGAGATATTGCCGTATTCTGTTACGTGAACAATACACCACAAGTGATTTTGCCGTGTGAACACTACACAGGAAATATTGCCGTATTCTGTTACGTGAACAATACACAAGAGATATTGCCGTATAAACAATACACAGGCGATATTGCCGTATGAACAATACACTGGAGATATTGCCGTATTCTGTTACGCGAACAATACACTGTCAATAACTGCCAGTGGCGTAATTTGAGGCGTTAATGATGCACCACAAAGCAGTTGTGAAATTTGATGAATGGAAGCTAAAATATTTGCAAGTCCTTTCAAGTTGAAAGTGTGTTGGAGTCGAGGGACGCCGTATGCAAATGTGGCCGTATTTATTGTGTATTAGATGAGATGAGCGCCTAGATATTTGCTTCCGTCTCATATTTCGGTTATATAAGCAATACAAAACCTT